GGCATGCAGGACGTCAGTCGAAGAATGATGTTCCATTGTTCAGGCTGTGCTGCTATGATGATGTATGTAGATGTAGAGGTATGTAGAGGTATGTTAACAATCGTGTGTCCGTTAGTTGTTCGGTCAAAGTTTTGTAAGGATCTCCGGATAGTTTTTCACTAATCTGGTTAACTTATCAGTTGATCCACAGTATAACTTCCCGGTGTTAAATACCGCTGCTAAACCGCTTTCCAAATGTTGTCCATCTCAAAGATAATCTGACTGCCTTTTATTCAGCTGTTCCAAACGCATATATTCTGTTAACTAGGTGACAGTTGTCCGTCTATTGCTCAACAGATACGGTTGCACATTTTCTGCTAACTACGTGTTCAACCATCTGTCCAACAATCAGGTCAGCCATATGTCCGAGCCATCTGGTTCCACGACCATCTGGGGGATAAACTGGACCTTACGCCGCCAGCTTTCCGGTCATACACACGGCTGGATTTCTTGGTCAGATGTTGGGTTGATTGTCTGGACAATTTGAGTGTAGGACAAAACATGCGATAGACTACTCGGTTGACTAGTTATTTGATAACCTGGAAAGATGTAAGATCAGTTGTTGAATCAACTGGCTTTTTGCCGCTCAGTCAACTGCGTAATTATGCACTGCGGTCAATTGAGCAGATGACTTTTCGTTCGAACTGAGCACTCAAAACCCCATGTTCGATCAACCGCGCTCAACTTATTCCACCCCCCAGTCCCGCCAGCCAGCCTGCGACAGCCTGGATCCGTTTGTTACAGGAGTGAAACTGTCTGCAGCGGCAGATCAGCAATGGAAATGTGCGAATGGATTCCGCGGGCCTGTGCCGTGTTATTTTCGGCAATAGAAAGTGCTGTCAGTCATTTTCACTTGATGACGTAGATGGGTCTCAACCGCAAGTGTTTTGCCATGAATGAGTCATGAAAACTGCAACGTTCAACTGAAGAGCTGAACCGTAGTATTGTGGCGTATAGATCACAGTGACAGTCAACTGACGATGTTATTGCGTGTCTGAAGAGGGATGAGCGCACTCGAGCCCAAATGATTAGCCTCCAGTTTCAATTAAATCGATCCCCAGAGGCCTCTAATGCGAGCGATCCCATTACGAAGTGTTCGTGACGAGACAGCGACGACCATCAAACGGGTCCCGTGGTAGTCGGATATTTATGACGTCATGAGATTGATGACGTGATACTAATGAGCCTGAAACACGACAGTGCTTTCATCCTTATTTCCCTCAAAACACTCATATATCTTTCAACAAAGATGCATAGGTAATCAAGCAGCAATCTAATTGATGTTTGGCCTCAGTTTTAAACGACTGAATATGAAGAAGTAAACATTTCGCACGCATGTGTATGCGTCACATAGGTGTAGGAACGTTTTCGAAAGTGGGGGGGGGGGGGGGCCAGGCTCCCAGAGGCACAAAACCTCACCTACCCCCAAAATCCATTTTCTCCTCGGATTTCGGCCACTTTATTTTCGCAAGCATGCTCAAATCGGTAAAAAAGTGACAAGAAAAAAAATCGACCAAAATCTCAGGGAGACTCCCGTCCAGATATTAAATCTCATGGACGCGTCCCCCTGGCCTCCGCAGCCGCGTTGGCATCAGGAGCGGATCCAGGAAAACTCCAAGGGGAGGGTCATAAATCGAAGTACCCCTACTTATACCCAAAATTAAAGCCTCGACAGATTTCGGCCACTTAATTTTGGTGGTGCCCTATTTTCATTTTTTTGCCCTGGCAGGCCTGTGGTGCCCCTGGCGGGCCTGTGGTGCCCCTGCTAGGCCGCAGGTGTCCCTGGCAGGTTTGTGGTGCCCCTGGAAGGACTGTGGTGCTCCTTACGAGTCTGAAGTGCCAGTGACAGGCCCATGGTGCCTCTGCGAGGCCGGTGGTGCCCGTGCGAGGCCGTGGTGCCCCTGCTAGGCCGCTGGTGCCCCTGGGCCCTGACAGGACTGTGGTGCTCCTGACAAGCCTGAAGTGTCCCCGACAGGCACGTGATGCCCCTGACAGTCCCAGGGTGCCCCTGCGAGGCCAGTGGGTGCCCCTGGCAAGCTTGTGGTGCCCCTGGCAAGGTCTGTGGTGCCCCTGCTAGCCCGCGCGGGGCTGGGGTCTCCAGCCGAACGCGCGGGGCTGGGGGGGGGGTGTAAATTTTACCCCCCCCCCCCTGTTATCTCCCGAACTAATGGTCCGATTTGGAAAATTCAAACGCCAATCGAAAGATCTCATCGCGAACAACTAAAAACATGTACGTAATTTAAAGTTTGAGGTCAAGGTCAAGGTCAGGTCAAGGGTACAAATTGCAAGTGTCTACAGTATCGGCCTTGCACCGTAGTTGCCGAAGAATGGAGTCATGGACTGAGACTGATTGCCCAAAACGTGCATTCTTAGGCTACAAAGACAATATTCGTTGCATACAATATCATTCAGAGGTCAAGATCAAGGTCAGGTTAGGTCAAGTCAGGTCACCAAAAACAAAATATAGAAAAGGGCATGTGCGACGCATGTTTTATGGGTCATTTTACTCATAGAATTCGATAGGCACACTCAATAAGTGATATGGACCACCTCTGGATGAATTTCAGGTCGAGGTCAGGTCAAGGTCAGGTCAAGTGAGGTCAAATTTTGAAGTTGCTTGTTAAAGGTGTCTATCTGATGCAGTTTTTCACGGCAAATCGAATGGTGCTATTTTTGTTTCCGTACGAGGTCTAGAACTTCCACAAAAATCATTTTTCAAAATTTTTGTGTGTCGTGACGTCATCAAATTTTGAATAACTACCACACTTTTGAACCGATTTTTCTAAAAATTGGTATGTAGGTGCACATAGACCACTTCTCTGACATATATTCCGGTTTTTTCGATACACGAAAAATTTTGGATTTTATAATTATTTTCCCAAAAAAGTCAGTTTTTGGAAAAAAATTTGGGCCAAAAGCCAAAATTTTCTAAAAACCGAGATAGCCATTTGATAGACAAAGTAGAATTACGTATAACCTTTTTTTGTTACGTCTTGATTCCTTTATAAATGAAGATGTTAACGGCGTTTGAAGTTTTGCCGTTTTTGAGGCGAAAATGGCGAACATGACGTCACTAAAACGTCAATTTCTCAAAACAAAATTCCGACGGATTTCGCTCAAATTTTCAGAGAACGTGTCACATTGATGTAAGAAAAGGTACTGAAAGTTTGGCGGCGCTGCGCGCCGCCGTTTTTGAGATATTGCAAAAATTCGCGAGGGGGGGGGTAAAATTTACCCCCCCCCCCCCAGCCCCGTGCGGGCTAGGATTCTGGTGCCCCTGACAGCCGACAGGCCTGTGGTGCTCCTGAAAGGACTGTGGTGCCCCTGGGCCCTGACAAGCCTGAGGTGCCCCTGACAGGTCCGTGGTGCCCTTGACAGGCCCAAGGTGCCCCTGCGAGGCCGGTGGTGCCTCTGGAATGCCTTTGGTGCCCCTGGAAGACCTGCGGTGCCCCTGACAGGTCTGTGGTGCCCCTGGCAGACCTGTGGTGCTCTTGCTAGGCTGGTGGTGCCCCTGTCAGGTCTGTTGTGCCCCTGATAGGTCGGTGGTGCCCCTGGTAGGCCTGTGGTGCCCCCGGGCCCCAAGGGGGCATGACCCATGTGACCCCACCTTGGATCCGCCACTGGTTGGCACCTATGCGAATTCCAGAAGCATCCAAAAACATTTTTTATTACGAGCGAGCGTGAAACGTGAGAAGTGAAAAGTTAGCAAAAGGTGTGTGTGGGGGGGGGGGGCAGTTAACATTGCTGGCCCCCCATTCGAAAGTGGGGGACCATGGCCCCCTGCCCCCCTGTTCCTACGCCTATGCCAGTAACCGATCAACTAATGCAAGGCCGCCTAACATAAATTGTTAGTTTACGCCGTTTACGCATTCTGCTGCGCCAGTATTGTCTCTCTTTGCAGCGCGCGCTGCCCCTACTGCCACTTATTGCTTCTGACAAAATTTCCTTTCATATTGGGTGGAGGAAAAATGCACTCAATAACGATGAAGCACAAATGGAAATCGTCATGGAAGGGCAGGCCGGAGAACCGTCAAGTTTGTTCTTCGGGGTGGTACCTACAAATACATTAATGTTCGGCAAAAAGTGGGGGGGCCAGTTAACATTACTGCCCCCCCACTATGAAAAGTGGGGGGCCACCGCCTCCCCCCCGTCCCCCCCCCCCTGTTCCTACACCTATGATGCGTCATGTGACAAAAAAAGAAAATGCAGCACGATATTTACACTCGTTTAAAACTTCCTCTCATACTACTGTAGACGCCCATAAGCCTGCCGTTCTCTTCACCAGGAATTTGCATCAGCTGGTGTCTGTTGTGGCTTGGGGAAGCATGCCTTCAGGGGATGCCTAAGTAAAGGATTGTCGCCCCAAACACGGTCCCAATTCTCAGGGGAGGACGGTAGGAAGGCGTCCGAGATGCCCTGTGATAGGGAAGGAGGGAGTGAAAGAGGAAGGGAGAGAGAGAGAGAGAGAGAGAGAGAGAGAGAGAGAGAGAGAGAGAGAGAGAGAGAGAGAGAGAGAGAGAGAGAGAGGAGAGAGGTTCTGAGCAGGCATCGACGTCGGGCGGAGTGTGACTGTCACTGCATAAAGCACAAATAAATAAAGGAACTCAAAACACCAGTGCCATTGGTAAAATGGTGTCCATTTATGGAGAGCTCTAGAGTAGCGTTCCACTACGTGACCTGATTCTCCATCGCCTCATAGGACTTTGAAATACCCGAGCATTATGCGGACATTTCCGGAGGCATGAGCACAACTGACGGATGACAATGCAGTAACGTTATATTTAACACCCAGTCGATGCATCTGAAAATGATTGAAAAAAATACAACAAATCTGCATGGGTTGTAAAATGGGTTTGATTTACATCTTCAAACTTATTTACCGATATTGTCAAATCTTTGAGGTAGGTGGCTTATCGATTCTTCCTCCTTCTAACATCTTTTTTCTTTTTCTCTCTCCACAGGCCTGGACTCACCGAAGGAGGACATGCGTCTCTCGGAGACGCTGTGCGGAGACCTTCAGACAGGAAAACTGCCCAAGAACCCCATCCAGCCTGAGGGATTCGACGGACACGCCTACCCTTTGTACGCTGGAGCGGGGCGGGAAATTAGTCAGCTAATTAGAACATCAATTATACAGTCGATAGTCAGCTTATGTGAAACGAGGATATGGCTTAGAGGGGAATTAATAGGTCTGCATGTGTAAGTACTGCGCAGCCTATTGTATATGTTGCCTCGCTTAAACCGATGCATCTAAACGTATCCAGACAAAAGTATGCTTGCCCAAGCAAACCAGGACTGAAGATATGCCTGTCAAAATCCAAACCCAATCTGACACTAATATTTAACATGACTCGGTCCGGGTGGCGTTTTACGACCCACTTATGGAGCAGCCCATTATAGTTAGCATAATCGTCCTGAGGATTTGAGAATATTGCTGAAATTGTGTGCCACATATACCTGGATTACGGTCCAATATTCCAACACCATGGGCTTGATAGCTCCATTTCTAATTCACATCCTCGCTAATGAATTCATCAACATCGCTAACAGTTGAAAGCTGACAGTTTGAAATACCCATCGTGTTGGAACATAGTCGCTGGCTATTCGCAAGTAATTCAGCGGAAATTACACATATGGGTGCTTGGAAATGAGAACACTCAAAACGAAATGAAAGTAACTGGCTGTGAACATTAGGTGCTTTTCATCAATTCAATTTCACACCCTATTTATTTCAAATAATTATTTTCCAGAAATACTGGGCATGTTACTGTATACACTGAACAATATAAACCAAAAATAAACAAGTTTAGTTGCATTTTATTTCCGTGTTTCTAGAACCTCAGTCCAGTCCCCCCCCCCCATCCCCTGAGTCGTGTTGTTCGACACCACCACCGTCTGTCCAGGGCTCGGCCCTATCCAATCAATCTCCCTCTGGGGACACAAACTATGGCCTCCGGTAATCGGCCCCGCGCCACAAATTGGACAGCACGGTCAACAGAGCGTGCGTCGTCGGCTCGGGTCGGCGCGGTCACATAGCAACCAGCCCTGGAGGTGTGTAGGGCTTATTTAAAGAATTTGGTACAGGGGGCTGTCATAGACATGTGAATGTACTATGCCGAGACGGTGAAATGCTAAGTTGTCAGTCAGTGGCGTAAGTTTACAGTCGTGAGTACCTGGGGCCGATGCTCACTCAAAAGTAACTAACTAACTGGGCATGGAGTTAGACAAAAACGTAAAAAGCGATTCCAGTCGATCGCACCGCTGAGATTCGAACCCACGGCCGACCAAATCACTATTTTGACGATATTTTGGAAGCAATGGCCATGGAAAATTATTTTTCGTGCATATAAAAGCTTACAAATACAGAAATCACCGAAGCGGACATTTCGAACCAGCCAAAAGCCCGCCTGCACCGCCACGGTCAAGTATTTCCTTATCATTGTGCTTGCGCAAGTATCAGTACATGTGTAACCGGGCGGGCAGGCGGACCGGCAGGAGCGGCTCCAGCGGCGGACCGGCCCGGCGGCGGGTGTGACGTCATCAGTGACGTAATAGTTTCTCCCATGGCCATGTGGGGGCATGGTGTGCTGTGTGTGTTCAACTTGTCCAAGTTTACATGGAGCTCCAGTAATTTGACGCACAAACCTGAAACCACTTGACTCTGGTGCACTGCCTAGCGCCTAGCCATCCAACAAAATGATAGACTCTCTCTTTTTCACAGCGAGCTCATCAAGAACAAATCTCTGGAGTTTTTCGGCTCGACTCTTCCCATCCTGAAGAAGGACCCGACGCTGCCCAAGGTGGCACGATTCCAGAAGCCGAGCAAAATCAAACACCACGCGTAAGTACTCAAATCAATGATTTGGCTGAATGTCAACACGGATCTTGTTGAATATTTGCTATGGTCTCTGCTTGCTGTGCTACTCTGCATTCTGTTATGAGCTCTCGTGATGCAATGGTTAAATTGACCAGTCAACATTTTCTCTTGATCAGGATTCTTCTATAAGCGTGTTAACCCGGCAGTTGCTGGGGTATTTCGCCACCCACCGTTTGCTGGGGGGGGGGGGGGGGGCGTTAAACGCCCCCAGCCGATAACTCGAGAACCAATAGGCGCAGCGAAACGCACGAGGCGGCGAACGAAAGAGCGCGACGAGACGCTTCAGATGAGCACTTCAAAGTTGAATTTTGAGGTCACAGGTCGGGTCAAGGTCAGGTCAAACACCTGAAATCGGGCTTTCAGTAGCATCGACTTCAGGACTTCGCAATGGGCGCCTCTCTCACGCCTCTCGTCAGTAACTCTATCAAAACGGTGCACAATCCATCATATAAGGCCTACAAGAGTGTCAGCTCCTTGTAGGGGTCAGTCAAGCAGAGGTCAGGGTCAAGGTCAGGTCAACCGGGTAGGCACATATCCCCGAAAATCAAAACTGATATTCGCAGCCTGTGACACATGTTTTATGGGTAATTTGGGGCGTAGAGCACGATGGTTACATTCATTTTATCATATGTGTACGTGTTTGGCTCAAAAAGTTCAATTTAAGAAATGCATGTAGCATGGTCGTGAAGAAGTCACGAGAAATTGTCAAGATTCAGTTCAAGATTTTGGAAAATGCGGAACGATAATCAGTAATCGAAGATAGCCATTTGATTATTCATGGTATTGGCAGTCTAATAGCGTTTACGGCATGTCTGTATGTCTATTCTGTGATTTTATATGATTTTTTGAACATATGCCGTTTTTGGTCGGAAACTCAGAAATCATGACGTCACTAAAACCCCGATATCTCAAAAAATTTCCGACCAATTTTTTTTGAAACTTTGTCACAATAAACTACAATCAATTCCCTACAGGTAGCCCAAATTTGGCGCGCCTGCGGCGCGCCGTTTTTATGCTATGGCCCGGCGAAAAAAGTGGGGGCGTTTAACGCCCCCCCCAGCAACTCGCGTGTTAAATTTATACAAAATCAATAGAGCGGCGCCTTATGCAGTCAAGCGGCAAGGCGCCGTGGTAGTGATAATTCATATAGCAATGTGTCGAAACTTCCCAACAGTCAACATAAATGTCCGCCGTGTCTTCAATTTCATTCGTCGAGCGATTATAACATTGTGGGAAGTGCAGGAAATGGGTGAATTCAGTCCTTCAGGTTATGATTGTTGCATTGCCCCTCTGAAGTAATATCATTTTATGAACACGGCAATGCCTTCTACAAATACGCGTCTGAATTATTTTTTGTTACCGTGCTACTTCTCTCAATTGCCACAAATATGAGCAGACAGCTCTAGAACAGAAAACGACTCATACATAGCTGCAGCTTGTTGCTCCAACGAACAACTCTTCAGAATATCAATCCTAGAAACCTTATGTAGCGTTTGTTTGACCATCCTCTCTACCATTCTTCTTTTCACACCAAAATGGCAACTGTGTCACTCTGTTCAGTAATGGTTAGCACTTTTGCGCTTTTGTCTGGGCTCTGGGACCTCTCTTATTTCTCTGAGGACGAGGAAAGTTGACGGCTGAGCGGCGACTTCCCCTCGAGTTGGTCACCTGTTGCGCCGCACCCAGGGAGCGAGCGGGCCTTGGAGCGAGCAAAGTTAGGCGGCCAAATGTCGAGTCAGATGGCCCCAAATGGTGATGGTGATAAAGTTGATGGTGATGGTCAGCACCATCTGCTGTCAATATGAGGCCATTGTGGCGCTGTTCTGGGGGCATTTGTGGCGCAATATTGGAGACGTTTTGAAGAGACTGCGGAGTGCGGAGATCGGACTGCGTTGGTGCTACTCTTGACGGTTGGACATATTGCGTAGACGTTTCTGGCAATGATTTAGAAGCAATTGAGGTTAAGTCTTGTGAGCATTGTCCTGAGTTTCAAGTATAAAGCACAGTTAATAATTCAACACCCAATAGTCTTGCACTGTAGCAACGGCACACGCCCCACGACGAACAAACGTTACTTCAAACGTATCCGAAATTATTGTAATTTCTTCAGTAACTACCCAGCCATTTCAGGCCCATTTTATTGGTCGCAAATCCCACGACCATTCCCGCTACCCACTGCGTTATCGGCCGGCTCCAGCGCGTCCCCTGTGACCCCTGACCCCTCCGGACGGTGACCTGTCTGTGACCTTTGACCCCGTCGCGGGGGCGGGGTGACTGTGTGCTAGTCGGGTGCCTCCCTCACAATACATAATGCATGGCATGCGGCTCAATGGTGAGAGAAGGTGGGCCGATGGGTGACGCTACTGGTGAAGAATGTACGGAGAGAGAGAGAGAGAGAGAGGGGGAGAGAGAGAAGGAGAGAGAGAGAGAGAGGGAGAGAGAGAGGGAGAGAGAGGGAGGGAGAGAGAGGGAGGGAGGGAGGGAGGGTGTGGGGAGGCAGAGATATGGGAGGATGAGGGAGAGAGGGAGATGAGAGAAGAGAGAAAGGGAGAGGATGGAGGGAGATGAAGAAGGAGCGAGAAAGCAAGAGGAGATAAAAAAGTAATTGCAGGCCAAGACAGATAGATGCAAATACAAAAAAAAAAAACGAACACAAAAGTGAGTTGGTGCTTTGTGCACGTCCCCTCTCTTACCCTCCCTCTCCCGCCAAGGAAAACTCATGTTATTACAGTTTGTTTCGCATTGTTTGACATGGGACAACTGTTGCAGACAATCAAACGGTCTGTTTGCTAAGCGCGGCCGCGGTCGGCGCTCGGCTGAAGGTCAAGGTCAGGGTCAAGGTCAGCCGAAGGCGGACGCTGGAGACGAGGAGCCGGCGAGGAACAGCCGCGGCTTCTGCGACACCAACTGGGGAGTGTGAGTATTTGACGGTAATTAGGACATGTCAAATGTTACATTACATCAACTGGTACACTCAAAGCTTTATGCATAGAGACTGTTTTTTACACGTAGTGCTTCCATCCCTTACTATAGCATTTCTAAGTTCCATCTCAGGCTTTAGCAGGCATGCATCTTAGCTCTGAAACAACAGGGGATGCATGCATTATTTCGTATGCCTGCAACTTTATTCAGTACACAATGGTTTGCTTCAGGGATTCCTAACTTTTGCTGAAAGATCGGCCTCGTCAAAGCCAGGCAAAGCTGTATTTGTCTTCACAACTTCTGAGCTATAGCTTGCTCTGCTGCAATGTTTGTAATGCTTTTCATACCAAAACTCTTTTCGGGCTAGGCCATTTCTGATGATGTGGCCCCAGCATTCCACAGTTTCGCTCTTTTGTCCTGCTTGGCGAGAAATATTATCTTATGATCTTAAAAAGACATACCTACACCGGTCGTTGAATTAATCGAAAGACGCGCTGTTTACTGTAAATGCATCGGTGCCAACAAACTTACCCAATTGCTTTTGAACATGGACGAAATAGGAACTGGAAGAAAACAAGTCCTCCATTGTATTTGATTTAATGAGCTTTGAGCGCAGTCTTAAATTCATCCGGATTCCGGATTCCTACCATATACGTTAAACGGTATTATGACAAGCCGCATCAAAATTTCATTGCTTGCAAACCAATCACCCAGTGTGCCTATGTTGCACTTTTCTTGGTTTCAGTCTCCGATTAGCATCTGGTCCTCACAACTGCCGGCAAATGCCAATTTATGTATCTTCGAAACACTCGAGCAACAGAGGCCTGCATTATTGATTTTGCGGCCATCAGAGAAGCCACCCGACCAATATCCTCCCACAGGGTCGGGACATTGACGGATGCTCCCCATTAGCTCCCGTTCGGTCTTGTGACGTCATAGACTCACAACAGTCCCCTCCGAAATCGATGCCGTCGTCAGCTATGACGTCACTCGGGCTTCAGTGGCTGACTGTTAAACTTCGATGGCTCATTTCGGAGTTAGGCTGATTGTGTAATGTGTATCTGAGCTGCCAATCTGGTACGAACTTAGATGAAAGAGATATATAAGAGTTGACGTCATTTTGAAGTTGAGTGACGCACCTACCTCTCTGCCCTTTACTGTCACTGACGCTTTCGTCAAATGCTGGCGGCTTTTGCTGTAGAAGCCAGACGCCAGTTGTTTAAATAGTGAAACCGAATTTAAATATGTAAAGTTGTACTAGTGCAACTTCCATCTGACGTAATGCCTTTGGTAGGAATATATATTATTATCAATTATCCAGTCTCCAATGAAAACAACAATAATCTACTTTCACCAGTTCTCCCTGCCCCCCCCCCCCCCTCTGTCTCCGGGCTACACACCTGTTGGTATCCCCCTCCCCCCCCCCCGGAGACGCTATTGATCCCTCCGCGGGCGGTACGGGAGTCAGCTGACTGCCTCTGCCTGCCCCCGGGGCACGTGACGTTCGACCAATCAGAGCCGCCGACCGGCCGACCGCCCCGGGCGGTGTGCCCCGACAGGTGTTAGCCGTGGTCAGGGTGGGCCTCCCCGGGGATGTGATTTTCCGGGAAACATCATCTGACTGAATAGCAGTTAAACTGATTCAGTAGGCGGAACTGTGGTCAAGCGTACCCATTTTCGGGAACGCATTTTCGTTCCCATCTTTGGGAACGATAAACCCAAATATGGGAACACCATGTAGGAATTATTTAAAACAAGAAAAAGAACCGTTAAATGACGTCCAAAAAATATAAAATGATCGTGAACCGCCTGATATTTGTCTCAATATTGTTGGGAAAGAGTTTGATATTGTAAGGCCCATGGTAGTTTCAAATCGTTCCCCTATTTCTAAAGCAGTCCATCATCCGGGCCGCGAGCCCAAATTTGGGAACGCTCTCGTACACTGGCGTTGCAAGCGTTCCTTATTATGGGAACGGCGTACCCAAAATTGGGAACGATTTCACCGACGCCTTTCAGGGGCTCTTTTCATTAACAAGCATCACGTCCAACGCCGCAAATTATTGTTAACGTAACAATCATCAGATGACCTTTCCGGCAAGACCGTCGCATGTTTCGCCCGGTCTTCTGCGCTTTTATTCCCGTCGATCTCGCAGCGGGCACGCCCCCCTCTGCAGGATTACGTAATTCACAACGCTCAGCGATGTTCAACAAGGTCTTCCATACCTATATCCACCGTCCGCGCCGAGGGTGGAGACAAGTCAAGCACCTGTCTGTTTATCACCGATAGTTGACGAGCACAAGGAAGTATCCAAAAATGGGAACGCTGAATATGTTACACCCGCAAAACACCTAGTCCCATGGAAAATATAGTTTTTTCCTTTCTTAATGAGTGTAAGTGGCAAAAGGCCTGGTAGGATGGGCACGAGGAATGATCGAAATCAGCATAAAAATTATAAATAAGCCACACAGAGCGACCTATATAAGAGAAATTCCCCCAAAACGATCATGCTTAGAAACACGGAAGACAAAAACCACGCTCATGACGCTCCTTATAAAACAATGCTAAACAGCTAGCATCCAAATAAAATATGTCTTTCCGGACTGATAAAATACAGCTGAATAATTTTAAACCACTGAAACTGAGTTTACAACAGTAGTTCGGTAAAATCACTGACGTTCCACGCGGTCGTGCGCCTCGACACCAAAAGTCAACAATATTACCTCGGGACTGTCCGCGTGTTCGCTTGCATATGTCAGCATCTGGTGTCGCTAGTACGAAACTTCATAACCAGGCGAAAATTATTATACTTGACCTCAAAATGTAAAAACGCTTCATTTTCCTTTAAATTGCATGTTAAATGTAGTATAACCCATGTTTTCACCATTCCGCCATTTCAAAAAATCATTAAAAATATCATTCGACGGTCAATTTCCTTGTTCAACGGTCAGATTAAAGATAATTTTATAGAGATTTAGTAGATACTTAAATTAGCGTGCACTTTTTTGAGACGTGATGCACTAATGAGTTTTAGTGGGCGAACGGCCGAAAAATTACCTTCCGTTCTCATAAATAGGAACGCCCGTTCCCATATTTGGGAACTCCGTTCCCAAAAATGGGAACGTTCCTATATTTGGGTACTCACGACCATAGTTCCACCTACTGGATTAGGAACGCAGTATTTGTGCTTATAGGATGTTCGATGAATGTGACCTAACAAAAGAAAGGTGATCTGTTTGTTTACTTTTTAGTGTTGCTTTTTTAAGTCATACATACAGTGTCACATACTTATCACTAATCAGTGCATGAGTTTTCACCGAAATGACATTTCCAGAACGATTTCAAGCGGATTCTGATTGTTGATATGCTCTGTCTTCGGGGAATCGTACCACCCGCCACCGATAGCCTTAGTCATAAAATAATTGAAATAAAATATTTGTGTTAAAATCTTAGCTCATGATGCATTGATATTTGCAACATTTTTAGAAAATAATTTGCGCGTTATTTAGTCAAAGTGCGCGTTAATAACCCTAAAATAACTCTATACTGCCATAATTTGCGCGTTATGTAACCTAACATCACCCCTTCTCTCTCCGTCAGATTCTGCACCCTGTTCAGGGGCTGGTCAGGCGGCGGCGGCGGCGGCGGCGGGGACTCTGACGAAGAGGTCAGCCAGAGGTCATCTCCTGACCTGACCTCGGGTGACGCGCCGCTGACCCCCTGTCCTTCCGTGGTCGACTACGTGACGCCGGTGTTCGCCAGAAACTACGAGGGGATTTGGCGTTACGTGGTGCAGATTCCGCACGAGGGGTACTTCACTCAGACCATTGAGGTCACCAGCTGCGTGTGAGTTGAGTCAAAGGGTCTGATTGGGGCTTGGGAGGTTATTTCATTAGTCTGGGAACTACGTGAGATTACACAAGAATCGTGCTAAATTCATTATAACGTTCAGTGTATTGTTTAATCATTTGCGATAGGTCAGTGTGTTTTGAAATGAACAGCAAACGAGTTGATTCACTTATCCAATGATTGATCAATTATGAGTACAGTGGCCGTTAATCTTGAGGCATTTTATCGTCCCGGAGAGTCTCATTTCTCCCCAGGTGCCCTTGGCTACTCGAAGTGGCTACTCAAAATACTCAGGTCAACGTACGTACCTCGCGGCTTGCAGCGTAATGCTATTAATCCTAAAACTCATCAAGCCACAATGCACTCTAAACGTCTTACATCTGCGCTGCCCATTTCGCGGTCGACATACCAGCTTCCGGCGTCTTTCTCTTAAATCTCAGCTCGTCCAATTCCATTGTCAGCTCCGCGGTCACACATTGTCAACCAATTAGGCCAGCCTCAGCAGCGGCGATGAGCGCTGGCGAGCGCCACGGTCTGCCAGTGTCCCGGATTTTACGCTGGACTGATTTGAATACGGTTCGGTCTCAGTGGCAGCCCAGATCTGGTTGAAGCAAATGGTTGCCGTTTGGTTAAGTACGCTCCACTAGATCGAGTTCATTTCACTCAGGAGTTGATTTCACTGTCGAGTGGTGTCACTCAAGCTATCAGACGTTTAAAGATCTTCAGGCCAATTGTACGGTACAGAAAACTCGAGTGGGTTTCGATTTCTACAAATGTAGAGTGCGCATGGATAATGTTCTACGTAAGTGCTCTCGAAGCATAAATCTCATCTGAAAGTCGCTTCCTCGAACGGTAAAACCATTCAGCGAAAATTGGTAGATATCGGATGGATTTCATCCAGGCACTGTCTCATCCAGGCGCTGTCAGAGCTGAAATAAGATCACTTTTCCGCGGAATCAAATGACACGACTCGGCCTGACAGCGTCCACGGCGAGCTGACTGGTCCCGACAGCCCGGGGCGGAAGTGAGGGATGTTGCAGCAATATATGCAGCAAGTTTGGAAGTTGCGCGGGTAATGGATCACCCTCTGGATCTCAAGAGGGCTATAAATACATCCAAGTTTTCAAAGATGGGCGGAGTATGAGCCCCAAATGACAGGTAGATACGATGATACGTGCCTGTCGAAAATAACTTCAGGTAGGAAGACGTTGAGTGACAGAGCTCATACAAAGTGTGAAAATGTGTAGGTAAGGCAACTGATAATGTCCGTATGGCCTGCTGTAGGATAGATAGGATGTCTGTTCACTGACATGTGCTTCCTTCCCCATCCCTTGACGAGTTACTGTCACCTGATAGAGGAATGTGCCCCTGATCTCACGTCCCCCTGCCCCCAGGTCATGTAACTGTCGCCTTCTCAAGGCTCACATTTCTGGGCCCTTCCCCTCCCCCACCCCCAGGTCGAGTCGTTGCCACCTGCTGTTCGACTCGCGTATCTGACGTTCCCCCTTCCCCCTTGCCCCCAGGTCAAGTCGTTGCCACCTTCTCGAAGGTTCCTGTCTCTCCTCTCCGCGATGGATCTCTCTACTAGTCGCCGAACTATTCTACCCGCACCAGACCTTCCCTCTGGCGGCGCCTGTGACGCCGCCGCGGGCGCCTGTGAGCGGTCAGCAGCCCCCCGCCCCCGCCCCCGCCCCCGCTCAGCTACAGGAGCGGGCCGGCAGGCCGGCCGAGCACTGTGACGGGACAGATCAGCTGGGCTGCTATCAGGTGGGTAACTGGGGACGGTGGGTTGGGGAAAGAGGGTAGCCCAATGGTCACCAATGGAGACTAGAAATCAGATCGTGCACATTCACATCTCAATCTCAGCCATAGGACTATTGACAATGTGAAAACATGCATAAGGCCTCTATTGAGACACTCGTAATGAAAATTTATAAACTCAAGATCTGTTAATTTTGCAAATAGACCTGCGACCTTCCATAGATCAAGTACCTGTCGTGTATGCTGAAGTTGATGTTTAATTGATGGCTTAACTTTCAAGACCAGTCAAGTTCATCGTCGAGTTCCCTAGTCCAGTCAAGTTTCATGCTTCCAATAATTAAACACGGTAATTTATTCTCACACATTAGGCTTCTCTAAAGCAGACCCACTAAAATAACGACGTCATTATCTAACAGCGTGCCCCACTATGTCAGTCTATTTTGGTCGTCGTTGCGCGGCCCGCCTGGCCATAATATCCGACCGCAGCGGTCGCTCTGGGGACTCTGCCCGGCTGTTCGGCTATATCCGGCGTTACGTGCCGTCTCCGCCCCGTGGTAGCACCCCTCTCCCTCCCCCTGGGTGGACCATAGAGCTCAGAGGCTGCCGACACGGCGCTCTCCCGGCCGCTGCTGATATGAAGCACCTCTGAATGGCCCCGGCACCACGGGCGCCATACCGGCACGCGGCGGCCGCGTGGGTCAAAAGAACGGGCGCCAGAGAAGCTCCCGTGGGACGCTGCATTCAATGATCTTAGACGGACTCAATGGGCGCTCAGAGGCCAAATATTACCACCGCGAGAGCCCCTCCTATTCCTCCCACACTCTCTCCTCGTCCTCTTTCCAAGGTAAAGAAGGGAGATGTGTGATAGACATTGGACAATGTGGAGTCGCGGGACGGGTCGCTCTGAAATCGAGACGGCACGTCCCGGCCGATTTAATGGCGGCACCAGCTCTGAAAGGCGTGTTTTTATCGTGTCACCGCGCCCCTGATTGAGTTCGACCGTCCGCAGAATTCGAGAGCGATCCGTGATACCTCCAAGCGGAATGGCCTGGAGCTCCTAGCGAGAGAGCTCCCTACTCGAACGTGATGATCCAATGCATGCTTGGCTATATGGATTTGATTTAAAATCTAAGCAATACATGCGTCAAATTGGCACCTTTCCTTTGCATTCACGAGTGATTTGCAAAGCTTAGCTGGCATAGCTCACTTTGGTGTTTACACCAGGCCTTTTACTGAACGACCGTTTGCGATGTTTACCCCTTCCCTGAGGTCACAGTCTCTATTCTCTGCATCCCCTTCTAGACCCCCTGGTGACGTCACTCCGTACCCCTTGCCAACAGGTTCGTCTCTACTACGACTGGTTCCTGGTGCCGGGTAGCTGCAAATGCTGGAAGAACGACGTTTTCGCCCAGTACCGCGCGGCAAAGCGGACCCCAAAGTCCGCCGGCCACTGAGAGCCGAGAGGGATCCAAGAAGGCGCTGATAGGGGACCAAGAAGGCGCCAAGAGGGGACCAAGATGGCACCGATAGCCCGAAGAAGAGACAGAGGGTTCTAGGGATTGGCTGAGAAATGGCTGGGAAATCACTGAGAGTAATTTTGGTGGACACTGTATTGATAAGTTATGAGAGGGTGCTAAAAAGGCTCATATGTAGTGAGCACCCGAGAAAAATGAGAGGGCGCTGAAATGATGAGAGGATGTTAAGAAGGCTCTTGGGAGATCAAAGAGGACAACCCATCACCAAGATATGTACATTTTTGCTGGCGTTGTGACTGAACAACGGCAGCGTACTAGCAGCGTAGTAATATGATGCAAAGTAAACAAAATGTGAAGCAGGATGTATGCTATATTTGTTATAATTTAGGTGTGTGATTGCGCTTATTGCCAGGTCGGCATCTTCTTGAGTGCTAGAACAAAATTTCCGACCTCTTTTGGCATCATTCATGTTGCGAATTGACATTGTTCAAGACAAGTAAATGATGAGCGTTTCGCGATAGCCCGAGAATTATTACTTTTTCATGTGTGTATTGTTAAAGTTAAGCTTCTGGTCAAGCGCCTTCTTGGCACATATTTATTTGTAACATCATTCAACCAACAAACTAAGTTTATCCAGCATTGATACAGAGTTCATTCATGTTTAGTTTTCTTTGCCAGGACATATTCCTCTCTGGGAATGATCGCAAATGTGCTTAGCTCAACAGAGACTCCACCGAAATGGAACCGGTTGTTTTGTTACGTGAATGAATGTATGATACAGTGGTAGAGTAGTTTGTTTACTGTGGATATTCCGTCCCGTAGAAAAGTATGTACTATGTACCGCTAAGTAACTCTGTAATAAAGTGAGTTGATGTTGTTTCTCACATATTTCCGAGAGGTTGGGTATGCAGCTGTCCCGTTAAAGGAAATAGTTCACTTTTTAACATGGGTTTTGAACTGGAATAGCAGTTCCGTAGCCTGGGCTGAGACGAGCATAAATCAGGAGCTTTTACAGCCCAACGATCACCCTAGGCAAAGATATTCTATTTCTCGTCCCGAAAAAGGTGTCTTGCGTTGAGGATGTGTGCCTTGCATATATTCCAATCCAGTATGAAAAGAGCATGGGTACCGAAAATTCTTCAGAAACTAGAGAAATTATCTACGAGAACTCTAGAGAAATTCTCGTACTGATCAATAAGGACATTCAGCAGCAGCAGATCGCCCAAATGCCGGTGGCCGCGATAATTTCTCTAGTTTCTGAAGAATTTTCGGAACCCATGCTCTTTTCATACTGGATCGCCTGTGCCTTACAGAAACTGAAAAGTTCTTCTTATATCAAAATATAGAAAATAATCTTTTGTTATAAATAGGTTTTATTTTCTTTGCTGATCATTTTGAACATAAAAAATCATAAATCCATTGCAAAAAAAAATAATTTCGTGAAAGTGAACTATTTCCTTTAACAGTCCGGTCCCACTGGGATTGGGACTGGCTCGGCCACTGCGGCGCGACAGTCGGTAGGGTGGAACCAGACTAATGGGTTCCACTTATCCTCTCATGCCACGGGTCTGATGTTGTCTCATTACTACACAGAAAGGGCCCACACTAACACAACAGAACAAAGATAAGGTGGGACGCATGTAAGACAGAAAGAGAACTTATTCGGTACATCACCGAGAAGATCAGTGAAGTCGCCGTCTCGTCAGAACTTCAGAAGTAGCCCCAGCTCAGACGGCTGTCCGGTCCCAGAGTCGCCTGAAGCTCCCTCGGCCATCCACCATCTTGACTCGAAGATTTCAGCAGGCTCGCAATCGGTCACTGGATCGTGTCACGGAACGGAATTGGTCACACCACCGATCGCACCGCTCACACAAGAATCACTCCGATCTCCGCACATTTCTTGGTCGTCTCATACCTTCACACTTCGTTAATCAAGCACCACTTTCCCAAAATACCATCACACTAACACCACACCCCCCACACGCAACCGCACGCTCCAAATCCGAAGCTTGCCAAATCCAAACTAATGATTGACCTTGACTTCTGCTTGGTTGGCGCGTCGCGCGGAATACTCACCTCCGATTGGTTGACACAGCTGTCTCCAGACGCCTGGGGGGAAGGAGAGCGGAGGGGAAGGAACCGTATGGTGGGACAGGGAGAGGCCCCGTCGGGTTTTCCGCGTAGAAACCGGTGATTGCACTCGGCTGAAATCTTATCTTGGGTTGATTATTAGCGTGTTATAAGACAGAGTTGAATATAGGTAAGTTTTATCAGTACCAACCGAATAAGGCCTGAATAAGTTTGTCTGATGCACTTAAAGTGTAAAACATGGCAAACTTCAAAATATATCATTTAGTTTGCCATTACGAGGCATTATTAATAATCCTGTATCAAACGACGCTGTTTTTTTCGCCACCTTTACAAAATGTCGCTATTGCCGTCGTTAAAACGTGTGTCTTATAAACCAACCGCAGCCGTTCTTTTTTCGCGCGGAGTTTTTCACATCAGCCACCAGCGATTCCATTTCGCTGTCTCTCACCCATCCGCTGCCCGGGGGGAATTTTCGAGTCTTCACTCGGACAGAAACCAACTGAGTGGCTGATAGCCCAGCCTCTGTCAGAGACTCAGAGCAGTAGACAGATTCACCAGCGTCGCCGCTCAATGCCAGCGCGAACTCCTTGAAAGCGGCTCTAGGCGTCGAATGCGTCAATTTGGAGCTGCCTGCGACATTCAAAGGCGCACATGTGGAGAGGTGAGTAGCGTAACGACACGTAACGACACGGCGTTACGACAGCACGTAACGATTACACGTGAGTTTCCTGAGGTGTACCGGCATCCCCTGGGAGTAATAGGGCCGAAAAGTTACGTTGGAGACGCGCGTGGCTGACGGTGAGCTGGCCGGGTAGGGGACGTCTGTGTGTAAGACAGGCCAACGTACCGTCTCAGTGCGAGCAAGATACGATCCAGAACAAACCAAAAGAACAACACATAAGTGCCAATTTTATAGCTCAAGAAATGTAGATGAGACGTTACGGCAATAGTTCTTCCTATCGCGCTATGATCTAAACCGGCTATACCTACATATTCAGCAAAGTGATGAGACATGGTGATTGGCGAACACTGTACGAATTTATGAATCAGCAAAAAAAAATGTATCGAATGGTGTAATGCGTAGTTTATTTGTAATGCAAGGCTTGTCCGTTCAAACGGAAGATGAACGGGCAGCCGAGCCGTCCGTACTGGATGACAATAATGTTCTGGAACTGGGAAAGGACAGTGGTCAGTGAATGCCACATATCGTCAGACCACATCAAACAAAACATGTCAGTTGTGCAAGACATTCTTTTTCATTGCACCATTGTCACATTCATCACATCATTGTCACATTCATCACATCATTGTCACATTCACCACATCATTGTCACATTCACCACATCATTGTCACATTCACCACATCATTGTCACATTCACCACATCATTGTCACATTCATCACATCATTGTCACATTCACCACATCATTGTCACGACCAGTATCACAATCCGTATGACAGACCTTTTAGCCACCACTTGTGCTGTCCAGCCTGCATCCTACATTGGATCGACGCATCCATCACCTCTAAGAAAAATGTGACACACCATGTAATGCATGACGACGCGGTCAGCGGCTGAAGAGATCCAACCGCTGCCTGTTGCCGCGGTGATGGCAGTTTTTATCACAGAGGTACTGGTGGATGATTGCACAGTTTAGCTCCGTTTCGTTTGCTCGTCAGAATGGATCGCTTTGTGATCGCTGTTGCTGTTTATCAATAGTTGACCAGAGATCAATACCTGGATAGCAAAAAAAGGTAGTTAAGGCGACGTTAATTCAAGCAGCGCTTTAGGTTAAAAGTATGGTGTTTAAATTCGACTGCCTTATGAGGAACTTCCGGACTTATAACCTTCACGGTGCCTGTAGTTTCATGCTTATATTTTTGACATCGAAAGTGTTTCTTCGATGTAACTAACATGAAATGTCTATCTCATGTGGCCTAAAGGGACTCTAATGCGAATTCTGAGCGAATGGGGGTAAATGTGAGCGTTGAATTATTTGTGGGGCTACGAGTAAAAGCACTTTGGCGACCTACCAGAACCGTACGGGTGCATATTCTTCTGACCTTTTTCTGAGACCTTTTCTGGGTTCGGCCCGTTGCGGTCTGAGTAAATTCATTTCAGTCATATTAAACCCACATATACGGTGCTCTCGGAATGAAATAAAACGTGTGCCACTGATGCCAGCATTGAAGACTGCCGTGTGGCAGCCTGTTGTTAGGGTTTCCTACATTCAGTAGCACGAGGCTGACAAACGACTTGCGTGCTTTGCTAACTTGGTTAACTAACTACAAAGGACCGAGAGTGCGTCGTAACTTCAAACACCTGTTGCAATACATTTGTGCTAAAATCCTGTCACTGGCGCCGTTTGTAACTACAGTTGAAAACCACGCAGTGTTCTAGCCACTATGGAGCATGCACTGGTGTGATCAAGCGCAATTATGTTAAATATCTTTTCTGTACGTAATTCCAAATTCTGACCAGCCTTCAGAGAACTCCGACCTCCACACCGGCACTGGATCTCAAACCAAACTAAATCCTCCTCCGGCTATCCCTCCTTACACCTTTCCTAACCTCTCCATCTTTCAGACACAGCCTCCAAACCAGAGCTTCAGAAGTCGAGCTGGAGTCTCCACTCCACCGCCTGTCCTCCCGCTGGCGGCGGCGCGGCGGCGGCAGGTCGATACCGCCCCCGCCCCCGCCCGGGACCGGCGGGCAGACGGCTCGTCGCCAACGACGGTTGGTCATCGTCGGCGGCGATGAAGTCAGGCCCAGTCGGCGCCTGCGGTCGGTGGTGAGAGGTGGAGGGCCGCTCTGTTGGTCTCTGTGAGAAGCGTTGGTGGTTGAACTGTGTGAGGCCGTTGGTGAGAGTTCCTAAAAGAGAAAGAGAGAGAGAGAGAGAGAGAGAGAGAGAGAGAGAGAGAGAGAGAGAGAGAGGGGGGAGGGAGGAGGCTGAGAGTTGGGAGGAGCAGAGGGACCGTTTGGAGTGGAGGTAGAGTGAAGAGGATCGATGGAAAACTGAGTGAGAGAGCCGAGATTACCTGCCGAGTCGCAGCGGCTGCGACCAGGTGAGGAGAGAGGGAGGAAGAAAGGGAGAGAGGGAGAGAGAGAGAGGATAGAGAGAGAGAGGGAGAGAGAGAGAGCAGGGTGAGATAACGGGATAGGAATGATGGAAATGTGATGTGCAATGTTTTGATGATATTTAAGCTTTTCAGCCACCCATTCTAAAGTCAATGCATGCTCTGAACGCAATACAAAGGTTTCTTTATTTACTACTTTGGTGGTACGGGGACCCGCAGTTGCTACTGTACAGCGACCCTGAGTAAATTGCCCCAGCACCCTCACAGGGAACAACGATAAGCTGTCGGAGGGCACTCACAGAAAACTTCAGCTGCTGTTGTACAGGAACTGGCAGTCGATATCAATGTTATCAGTTGTTACTGGGCAGGACAGACGGCTAGAGTTGCGGTTCGTGTACAGTAGCAACTGCGGGTCCCCGTACCATTTGCTAGAAAATTGTCTCTTTTATGCGTCAATCATTTATACAGTTCACGCGTGTCGCGTTCTCCTAGTTGCTATCCGTGTTTTTGTCATTTTCAACATATTCCTGCGCCTCAATTCGTTGCGTGTTTTGCTGCTCTCAATTTCAAGAGACCCACGTATCACCAGCCAACTCAAATGATATGTACTGCAAGCACGCACATCATATTACGCTGGAAGGCGAGCGGATAGTCTCCGGGTCGTAATCCCATCGATTTCTAATCATCTTCAGATCAATGGTCGTTGATACCAATGAAATTGATACCGTTGTCCTAAGGTCACGATCGCAGAGTTCTGAGTAAGCGTTTATTCAGGAACGTCCGATGTCCGATGTCCGAACGCTTATGTCTGAATATCGGCAATTACCAAGCTGTTACGTGTAAATGAGGCTTTTACAGCTCTGACCTACCAGAGAAAAATAATGTGTGATGATATTGACGACTCATATTGACCTCACTTCTATTGAAGACTAAACGCTTCTTACTTTCCAGTTCAACGTTGCAACCAAGTCACAACCTTCTGTCCAAAGGGTCAGAGTTTGAATGTCAAGGTCACGCCGTAGACGTTATTATTTCTCCGTTTCCTAAATCCGAACTGCCTGTTTCAGTGATATTGCCTGCTGCTGTTCCGTTCCCCTCACCCCGCCCGTTCCGTCCCCAGGGCGCGGCGACCATGTCGGCTCGTCGCTCCTCCGAGCGGCGTCACGTGGACTTCCGGTTCCGGACCGAACCGGAAGTGGCCTCCTGGCGGCCCGGAGGTGGCCGTCCGGAGACGGTGCCCCTGCTCACCTTCTCCCCGTCTCCCAATGTGGATCCGGAGCACAGCGGCGGCGGCAGCACGGGCCCCAGCTCTCCGGCGTCCCTCTCTGCCAGCTCGTCGCCGCAGGGCACGCCGTACCGACCCTGCTCGTCGCCCCAGGGCATGTACACGGCCGCCGACCTGCTGCGGGGCTGTACCGACCTGCAGTTCGCCGACTCAGGTGGGCTCAAACGACTGAGGTCGTTAGATGAGAGTTACCTGCTTAGCACTTACTTACAGGTCTCGCGGGTTTTAGCGGTAGGTTTTGCACCTAGAAAATCTAGTGTACTTCAGGCTATATCTTCGTCTTCTTACGTTTTAAGTGTTGAAGATGTGATCGACTTGTTGGTTCACAATCCGGCCATGATCGTGTAAAATGGCTTCATCGTAGATCGGTTAGTTTCTGAGATATAACCGGACATGTAAAAGTGCAACACCTACCGCTTAATCTCGCGAGAGCCGTACATAGTGAGAGAGCTGGATAGAAGTCAAAGTCATCAAATGTAACCACTAACACGTCAGTATAAGAAAGCTGCCGGGAGCCCCGTATGAACGAGTTGAAAATTTGTAAGAAATTGTGTGAAAATTTACATAAATAAATGGCAATATAAAGAGCACTTAAAGTTACATGCTGGTGAAATGGCACTGGTCTTTGCGTCGGATTTCCTTTCCGAAAACTAGGTTTCTGAGAAAATAATGTATCGAGTCACCATACTGGAAACAACTGGCACGACAATCTCCCTTTATTACATTTGTGCTGTGCGCTTTTATAGCTAAAAGCCTGTCGTTTCACGCTTGGTCGACTGTCAACACTTCGTCGAGCTGGACATTCCGCGAAAGGACAACAAAAAATCTGCAGATTAGATTTGTCTGCGAGTCCGTATTACAGTCAGGACAATAATCGCGGACGAGAGGGCAGTGGACGCACGATTCTGGCTGACATGAGACGCAATACGGTGCCGGACAGAATGCATGGCGGGCTCTTCTTACAGGAAAGGTAGTGTTGGATGTAGGGCTCAAATGAACAGTTCTGGAGAAAAGACGTGCGCACATGGGTGGAGAACCTGCCCCGGCCACCCCGGCCGTGGCCGGGGTAACTTTCAGCCTACCCCGGCGCGGCCGGGGTAACTTTTCTACTCTTGTAAATCCTAAAAGCTGTCTCCATACGAGAAAAGAAAACTCACGCTCTTCGAATGTTGAATTCCATGGGCGTAATATTGCAAATCAGGGTATTTACCATTTACTTAACTTGCCATAATCTCCAACCCTAAGACCCGCGTGTGGTCGCCAATGCCAAGATTGCTCTCAAATCCTGTTCAGTTTCGAAATTTTGGCGCGCCTTCGGCGCACTTTTTCAAAACCACTGCTTGACCTCATTGCCTTCGACTGACCTGCCACCAACTGCAACCACACCCGTTTATGAGCGTACCCGTCAAGGTGCTCATAAACACCGAGCGGCCATCATGCTTCGAACTCGGACTGTTGTAACCGGGACGCGTGCTCTCGCCACGCGGAGTCCAACGCTCTACACTGAAAACAAATCGACACAGTGAGGCCATGTTCTGTACCTACTGGTAACACATCAGGCATGTGTTAATCGCACCCAAAACACAATAATGCTGAGTATTTTCACGCTGGGCGGGACCTTCGACACGTTTGATAACACATAAAACAGAAAAAATGACACAGTTTTCTCGTGCCAAGCACGCTGGACGAATGTAATGCATCAGTGTATCGAAATCATGTGTTGTCGGGGATGGTAGACGTGTACCCTTGCACAAATACACCGTGTCATCCACCAGTGAGCGACCTCTGAACCTTAACTTCAGATGGGGATAATAGAGGGCGTTTTTCGAGCACCGACTTTTATGCTGGGTTTTTGTAAAAATTTGCCAAAGTGTTTTGAGAAAGGTCAAAATGCACAATACAGCCGAGGGAGTCGATACATGATAAATTGTTTAGAGCAATATGCGCTGATTACATCAAGGGCAAGCTGAAGCATATATAATTAACGTCTGCTTGGAGGAAGAAACTCCTCAGTCTATATAGGATATATTTGAAAAATCGGTGACCGTAAGTTTATCCCGGATGTCTGGACAACTGTATTGCACAGTAGTCCTCCAATTTGGGGCATCGTCACTTGGCGCTCTGATTGAGCCGTCCACGTGACGCGTTCACCCTTCGGCTGTGAAGTGGCCGACCGGGCGCGACCTCCAGCTCGTGTATGGGTCGGCGGCCTCGTATGGGTCGGCCGGCCGCGTGCGCAGCCCTGACCGCGCCCTGACCATATGGGTCGGCCGGCCGGGTGCTCAGCCCTGACCGCACCCGAGCGCCCGATTCCACTCGGGGCCCGGCTTTGGCAGTCAGCCTGTCCAGCCCAAGCCAAAGTCTCTTCAACTGCGCCCCGGCAACAAACTACATAATCGCCACGTGTTTCCTTCTTTCACTTGCGATTTGTGTTAAATTTAGTAACACATTTACCTTTTATTCTGCAAATGTATTCACACAAGCCTTATGTGTTGAAGACACAATGATATTGTGTTTAAGGACACAACACGACTGGGTTAACACATTTGTAAATTGACACGTCTGCGACGGGTCAAAAAATGCATGATGCAGGGTACACAAGAAAGCCTAGTTAACACGATCTGCCTGTGCGTTTTTAGTCGTTTTTTGTGTCATTTTGTTTTCAGTGTAGCGACTGAGCTACGAGACCGGGACCGGTCGATATTCCTGGATCGACTCCCTGTTTGTCTTATAAGAGCCGCCCAACATTGAAAAAGGCTGCGCCCGTGGATGTCAGTGACCTATTCTAGTGCTTTGTTTGGTTCGATTCGATCTGTCAATTTCTCTGTAAAGCTTCTACTAGGTGAGTTGTCTTTTTGTAGCTATTTTGAGACACAATAAAAAGCTGAAAACGCAGCATTTAGGTACTCAAAATGGCATATGGTTTGGTTTGGGTTCGGTGAGAAATTGCAAGTTTAAGTAAAAAGAAATAATAACTTAAAAGGAAATTGCCTTTTCGATCATTCCAAAAATGTTATGAATAATACGGTGTCGGATACAACGCTCATCCTTGAGCAAACACAGCATCCTATTCCATGCGTCAGAATAGGGGTTTGGTGATGACCGTTGAGAACAACGTGAGTATATCGTCTTCCCGCGACTATATCGGTCGCCGGCCGGGGTAACTTTTTCAAACATTCTCCACCCATGCGTGCGCAGATGTACTAGAATGAACATTAGAACTTGCGTGTAAAAGGAAAGTTAGATATTGGACAAATGTTATTTAGTTACTTGCGACGGCGAGCGCTGCTGCCAAAAGAATGTCCATGCCCCTCCGCAATGACAGTTGAGCACGCCAAGTCTTATTTCGTCACAAATACTGTAGCGTAACGTATGCAATGTAACATGCTCGACCCCGTCTTTTTATTTATTTATTCATTTATTTATTTACGACTTCCGCAGACACTCCACAGTGCAGACGTGGCTATTCTGTGTCAGTTGTTACAAAGTTAAAACATGGGTAGGAAACTTGTCAAAAAATCACAGATAGTATCACAGTCATACCTGCACGCTCACATGTACACATAAAAGCTACGACAGAACAAGTGCCTTAGCAGCGCGCTTGAAGCCCCGCGAGTCTAGCTCCATGGCCCCCACCGGCAACCGGTTCAGCAGCGACACTGCTCGGTAACCAAACGAGCGTTGGCCGGCCACTGTGCGCGTGGCAGGGGGTCGTAGGCGTGAATCCGATCGTGTCACACGCTCACAGGTTCGTGCTTCAGAAAAGGTCGTGAACAGAGAGGCGAGTTCGGCAGGCTCACCACTGGCACGCACATTGTAGGCTGTTGTCAAAGTCCTCAGCTCAAACATCTGTCGCGGCGAGAGCAGCTGCAGGTCATTACGGGCGCGAGAAATGTGGTCATACTTTCTCAAACCGGTGACGACACGAGTCGCGAAGTTAAGAACTTTTAAAAGTCTCGTATCGTTCGCGGCCGACCCGTTGCCGTACACAGCCACGCAGTACCTGAGGCGCGAGATGATCAGCCCCTGAACAACAGCTAGAAGTGCCGGCTGCGGGAGGAAATGCCTCAGGTGACGGAGACCGATCAGGAGGCCAGTGCACCTGCGAATGATGTCACTCACATGTGCATCCCAGGTGAGGTGCCGGTCAAAAATCACACCCAGGTTCCTCACTGTGTGACTCTCCCGAACGGTCTCCCCACCGATCCGTACGCTGACAGGGGCGAGGTTGCGGGTGTTTTGCTTGGTTCCAAGGAGAAGGAGTTCGGTTTTGGAGGTGTTGAGCTTAAGGCCGTGTGCATGGAACCACGATGAAAGGGAGGCCAGGGTGTTTTCCATGCGCTGGATGAGGAGTGGGATGTTTTGTTTCAAGTCGGACATAAGGATTTGGGCATCGTCAGCGTACTGGATCACATGGGCGTCCGGCGCGTGCAGGCTGAGGTCGTTGGCGAATATTGTGAACAACAGAGGACCAAGGACAGAGCCCTGGAAAACTCCCATGGTGTTAGGAAGAGGTTTAGAAGCCACTCTGCTGCCGGAGGAAGTACAAATGGAGACTGACTGAGTATGACCGGAAAGGTATGCGGAGAACCAAGAAGGATCGATGTTGTAGAGCTGGAGCTTGGTTAGGAGTTGGGAATGAGGAATCATGTCAAAACATTTACTGAGGTCCAAAAGGCACAAAAGGGAGACGTGACCTCGGTCCATGTTTGAAAAGATGCGGTTTGTGACGGTCAGCAGAGCGGTTTCTGTGGAATGTTGAGGACGGAAGCCATGTTGGGATGAGGATAGGAGATGATTGTGAGACATTGTGAGACAGACAAGACCGTCTTGATTGACTCAGCTTAGGCGGCCGTCTTGAATGCTACCCATGGACCAGCAATAAAGCTTCCCTCGTTTTGAAGAAACAGTGTCAGTTATCTAAGTCATTCTACTTCTCCTTAGCATATTGTCAACAATGGTTTTATTCGATTTACTTGGCATTCAGCGTTCGCTAACGTCACCGGTTTAACGATTTATCGACTTAGCTGTCCTGCGAATGCTTTCATCGCAGCTGTCATCTTGGCTCAGCGAAGCTTTAGCATACAAATTCTTGTTTTCTTTTCAAATCGAGCCCACCGTTTCTACCTAAACCTTTCACGAAGTTAACGTTTTGTCGTCGCCACCTTTAACCCATTATCATTGTTGATTTTCAGCAAACGGCTCCCCAAGTCCCGACGAGCTAACACTGGAGTTGGCACGGGCGAAGCTGAGGAACGATCCCAGTCTGTTGGCTGCGGCGAACAAGGTAGTGCAGGATGTACTGAGAAAGGCTCGGGAGGAGGCCCGGAGGAGGGTCAAACAGGAGGAGGACGCCGCTCAGGTGAGAGGGGGATGGGAGAGAGAGAGAGAGAGAGAGAGAGAGAGAGAGAGAGAGAGAGAGAGGGAGAGAGAGAGAGAGAGAGAGGGAGAGAGAGAGAGAGAGAGAGAGAGAGAGAGAGAGAGAGAGAGAGAGAGAGAGAGAGAGAGAGAGAGAGAGAGAGAGAGAGAGAGAGAGAGAGAGAGAGAGAGAGAGAGAGAGAGAGAGAGAGAGAGAGAGAGAAAGCGAGAGCGAGAGAGAGAGAGATGTTTGCTGAATGAATGAATGAATAGGCAATACTGAGACTTGAATCAACACTTACGCGAATTGTGAATATGTATGAAAAAGGCACGATTGCCATTCAACAGCACGCCAGGAAATTGACACGCAAATGAACCCAACAATGCTAATATTTGACCTCGTCGTTGGCATTCAACATCCACGCGACATAACTCAAAATCAAATTATGCATACAATCCCTAGTCCTCGTTAATTCCTAACCCAAACAATAGAACGAAACACATAAAGTTGGGAAAATGTTACGGACTAAGCCTCAGTCCCTACAGGATCAGTTGGGTCACCAGCGATGCTGACTGGATGTTCATTGTCCACGCCAAGACGCAGTCCAGGCCAAACACTTCGGGCATGGTGATTGTTGTGCCAACACGTCGATCAATAATTGACTGTGGGTGCTGTGATTCGGAACGTGTACTAATAAATAATGCAGGCACCACCGGTGTAGGAAATACTCGTACGCACTGATGGCCCGTGGGTTTCCTAACGTAGGGATGAAAATAGCTCAATGGCAAAAATCTGTGAAATTGAGCGACGTAAATTCATGTAAATTTGTGTAAGGTGTGGTTTGTTTTCTGTATGCATGAATAATCAAATTTTCTTCGGGAATTATCTTCAAGTTAAGGGTGCATTGTTTGGAGAAAAGGTTGTATTTGAGGAAGCATAAGGATGGCTCAGTTGCCATAGCACTTTAAGTGATCTTTTGAGAATGGCAGAACCAAGTCACCATCCACCCTACAATCTACACTGATAAGCACATTCTCTGCATGCTCTGTAAATAAGAACTGCACCTGCACGCCCGCTGAAAGTTCAGCACGTGTTATTGCAGCCATTTGGAACGGAAAGAGATGACTCTTAATCAAGGATCTGAGACCCTCTTGTGCCAGCTTATGCACATTAATTCAGAGTCTGAGCAGTCTGAGTATTTGTTCTCCATATCTTGTGAAGCACAGTTACCTTTTAACTGTTGACCTGCAGACGGTCGGATATTCAGAATGTCTTCTCAAAACGAGAGTTCTGATGTTCTCGAAATCTCTGATTGGTCCGAATGTTGCCGGGTCCTAGGATGTTTGAAATGCTCCCGGCATTGGTGAGATATTCTGAATATTCACGACATTATGAGCCGGCTTTCGCGCATTAATTCAGAGCAACCATAACCATTCAGTAACCATACCATTCCGAGTGCAGGGGCCAGGAGCTCACTGCAATGGCACCTGGTTTGTTGAGCTCCCTGCGATGGCACCGGTTTGTTGATGCCGGTGAGCCGTCGGCCCCGTCGTCGTCCAATAATCATAAACCGGTCACTGCCGGCGGTCCATCGATAACGATCCACGCTTTACGACACCGAGGCTGGCGCTGAGCCGGTGCCGAGCTGAGCCCTGAGTCGAGTGAAAAACTGAGCTGAGCCTATGCTGCGCCTAGCGAAGAACTCTATACAGAGCTGAGTCCTGGGTCGAGTCCTGCGTCTGTAGAGATAGGCCTTGTACTTTGTCGAGCCGAGCCCGGTGTCGGGCGAAGACCCTGGTTTGTGTCGTTCGGATCGGAGAAAAGGTTTTGTTTGCTTCCGAGGTGAGGATTTGGTCCGCTCTCAGTCTGTCGAGCTCAGACCCTATGGATACCGAGCTGAGACTCTTATCTCTGTCAAATTGGACCCTGCGGTCTTTGCTGTGTTAGGCACTGGTCTGTGTTACTGATGAGTTAGGGTCCGCTTGGTGTATAATTAAAATTATGGACTGTGGCGTTTTTATCTCTCTTTTTTTAGCGCTCGCCTAAAGGACCACCGTCCTCAAAGCGAGCCACCAGCCACCTAAGTAATTAAAGGTAGTGTGCCAGCTTTCCTGGACCGTATGGAGTTAATGGCCCAGATAAAGAGAACCGGATTTTTATAACTTATCCATACCTTCAAAACTCATGGAAACGTCTTAACCCTCGCCCGCACATGCTATTTTCCCATCCTAGAACGCACATGGGGGGGGGGGGGTGGTTGCCACCCCCCCCCGCGCCATTTCGTTCCTGTTGGAGATAGAGCTTAGCAGTAAAGACCAAAAAGATTCTTTGGGAAGAGACGAATCCAACGATACCCAGTTTTACCTTCTCAGGTCAATCATTGACCTTCCAGGTCAGGTCAAACTAAAAAATATTGCTGTTTTGGGTCACCGTTGGATATCAAGTGCGCTGCTTATCAAATACCGATGACGATGCTGTTTTCTGGTGCCAAGCCAGCTAGAACCTCTTTGTCACACTACCCGACCATAATTTTGCTGCTGAGGTCATTTCAGGTCAAGTTAGGTCAAGGTCAATTATATGTGTTTGTATGTCTGTGTGTGTCTGTGTGTATACTGATGTGTGCACCGATTGTTTTTGGGTCCATATTACATGAAATCATGATCTGAGAAGCTTTTACCAAAAATGCAGTCAAAAAACTTCACAAAAAGTAAATTCAGCTTGCCTAAAACGCAATTATCTTAGATGACCTAGGTTGACCTTGACCCTGACCTTGACCCCTGTACATCGTCGAACTACATGTTCCATGATAGGTGGGAGGTAAGACTGGCAAAAAAGGCCGAAATCAGGGTGTCAAAAGCTCACAAGGCCCATGGCAAGTGAAAGATGTTGAGAATTGGCCATTTGGGTCATGACATGACCTGAAAAACAAGGTCATATCTCCGAAACCAAAAATCACAGAAACTTGAAATTTTCAGTGGACATCAAGAAAGGATAGAGGAGCAGCTATACGAAAAATCAGCCTTCTAGCTCTAAAAATGTTGAGTGCAGAGCAGAAAGACTACCTGGGGGGGGGGGGGGTGGCAACCACCCCCCCCCCCATGTGCGGGCGAGGGTTAAATTCTTCAAATTTTGAGTACCCCAGTGCGAAATTCGCCCCGACGGCTTGTCGGTCGTACCCCAACCACATTTCACACCACTATGAACAATAAATGCACACACTGAAATCGCTATTACCGATATGCTCATCCAATCAAGTTTCGATAAACCCGTTCATCAGCATCTCCTGCGGTTTCGAACACGCCTGTTAGGTGGTGCGGTAGACCGCGCCCAAAGCCAGGGCCCCGGTAACGTGAGGTAGCCGAGTCGGGGCAGCGTGCGCTGACCCAAGCCGGGGCCGCGCGTCCTCCCGGTGTCATGTGATAGCCCGGGGCTGCCCGCGGGGATGCGGTAGACCGCGCCCAAAGCTGCGGCCCCGGCTTGGGTCAGCGCACGCTGCCCCGACTCGGCTACCTCACGTTACCGGGGCCCTGGCTTTGGGCGCGGCTTCTGCTCATACTTTTTGGTGCGGTGGTGGTGCGTCGGGCCGCGCGCTCTGACTTCGGCCAAGAAAAATGCGTCAGCTGATCATTGTCATTTCTGCCACTTGCGTGTGGTGAAATGGGGTCATAACTTAAGAGACGGCTTTTTCATATCAATTATTTTACATAAAATCATATTTCAAACCATAAATAATTTTCGACAGCCAAATAAAAGAAACAATACCAATACAGGCTTACAGTTTAAGACTCGACATTGTGTTGTCTACGATTAGACAGCTGATAACTCATTCCCGTACGTCGTAACTCTATAATGACCTTTGCTTATTGTCACATGTGCGCCGCATTCGCGATTGTTGCCGACGCCTGTTTGCAGGTCAGCCCACTACAGTTGTTATACATATCGAAAAAACGATAAACTTTTAGGCGAAAAAGGCACTATTCTAGGCCCATTTTTGATTTTTTTTTGCGATATTAGGTAAAAACAGAAACTTCTTACCCTTGGAAAAATAAAATGGGAAATCTTTCAAAGGTGGCACACTACCTTTAACTTGCCTCCTCGGACCACCACTAAAACTGCACGACAAAGCCAGTGAAACGTCTCCAAGCATTACGACCGACGCTCCGTCCATACCACCACCATTCTATTTCGGTCCTGTCCCGACGTCCAGTGTCGCTGGATGACCTCTGCTCGCCAATAACACGGCACCCCGGCCGCTCCCAGCGGTGACAGGTCGCATCAGGCCGCTGCAAACCATCGACCCGAGCCCTGTGGCGGTGCTTTTGTGGCCGCACGGCTTGTGAGGGTGTTTTAGAGGCGGGACGGGAGCTGGTGGATGGACGTTATGAGATGGTGATAAGCCGTTGTGATTTAAAGATACATTGCATTTTGGTGTGAAAAGGGGGTTTCATACAGCCTCTTGGCTACATTCTCTGCAAAAGTAGAGACATCGTTGATTCACCAAATGCTTGTCGAAAATGTAATTGAAGGTTGCACTTACATACACCGTGCAGAGTTCATCTGCTCGTTTAGCTTGTTCTGGCAATTGTATGCGCAGTCCAGTCTATATCCATGCTCTGACTCTGACCCTCTTTCCTCCCAACTTTGAGCCCATTTCCCTCAACTCTTCCCTCTCTCCCTCCAACTCTGACCCCCCACCCCTCCCCTTATTTCACAGATGCCGTTCGTCGGCGCTGAGTCGGACCGGTCCGGTTCCCTCCCGTGCGGAGCGGCGGCGGCCTCCTCACAGCGGAGACGCACTGCCTGGGAGCGGAGGTTACGTGCCATCGTCTGTACCTTCTTCTCCTGCTTCGGCATACGCCGAGGGTCCTTCTGATTGTCTGAAGGAGCTCTGGGGATGTGGTTAGCTGTGACATCTCGACATCCGCTGCGGGTTCTTCTGATGGTCTGAAATAGCTCTGGGGAAGAGGGTGTTTCTGTTCTACGTGAGTTATAGGTATTCCTAAGGCAGATAGGATGGTTAAAGTGGTATTTAATTGCGGGCCTTTATTGCGCTTAGAGTCTTCCCTCACACGTAATTTCAGTATTCTGAAAGAAGTTTTCGACGGGCATGCTTATCTTGCGCTGCATGTTTTTAGTCTGATTGGAATGCTAATTTGGTTCATTTCTTTTCCGTCAAATCATCAAATAATCTTCAAAGGGACGCGTTGGTAGCCAAATGATGGCTCCTTGTGCGGCTCTCGAACAACGTAATTAAAGCCGCTTAAAATGATAAAAAGCTCTTCCAAAAAGGATATTATGTGGGACTGCTACTGCGGCCCCTGTTTACTTAAACTGCTTTTATTTGTTCAGAGACCTCAAAACTGGTAAGTTGATGTCCGAAGACGTACGCGCTGCTGTTTGGCGTTACGTTTTTGTGTCTCTTGCCAATTTGAAAACGTGAAATCGGTACCCATTGCACAGCACAAGGCTATCATTTACGAATTCGTTTCTAGAACCGGTGATAGGTACAGCGCTCCAATGCTTTAATCCACCTGATTAGACAGATCTCAAGAGGTCCTCTGTATACGGAAACTGAGACTGTGACCGCCACGAATCGCGATGTGGGCCTGCGGCACCCACATCGACCTGCATCTGTTATGGGACTGCTGCAGGTTCATGAGACAGCTCTATCTCGAAGGTCTTCTGTAAGCCGCCTGGCTATCCCCCAAAGTGACGTGTCCGTGCCACAGAACGTGCGGCTTCCCCGCCCTCAGTGGACTGACGGAATGTTTCCCCCACTGTCCGACTCTTGTTCATGGATCTCAGTGGCAGCCTGCCTGCGAAGTTCTGTCTCCAGAATGGAGACAGCGCGATTCAGCGCAATGTCGAGGACCTACTTTTAGAGTGATGTTCTTTAGGTTTGTGTGTGCACTGCGGTGATGTGAACAGATGACCAGATGTTAATGTAGGAAAAAAGGGGAGGACAAGATGCTGATGGAGGGTTGGCTGGGGGATGGGGCACAGACGGGGGGGGGGGGGGGGCTGTCGCACCATCAGAGAACTGACTAGCTCCACGTCGGGGATACATGTTGGATGACTCCATGACCCGTGCGAACTGTGTTCATATCATGTTGAGATGAGCGACTGAGGAATGTAGGCAAAGTGCGTGTTCCCCATTTGTACCCTAGGTAGGTCTGTGCCGTAAGGACTGTGCGAGTGGTGCGTTTGACATTTCCCTCTGCCTTATAAGCCCATAGAAATCCGATATTTTCTTCAAAGTTTAAAACACTAGTAAGAAGGAGAAGTTTTTTTAATGATCACTATTTCGTGCAAAACATGTAAACCGATAGCTCTTGAAACCACATACCTAGCATTTCGCCGATAGCCCGACGGTTTAACTTTTTAAATATGTTGTGAAAGAGGATGCGATGCAAGCCTTTCACTCATATCCCGATCGCACCTCCCATAGGTACAGCCAGTGCTATCACTCGAAACCTCGCTATTTTTGTACTTGACGCTGTGAGCTCTTTACTCTGGTGAAGGAAAGATATACTAGGTAACCGGCGTTGGCTTACTAGAGCGATTCTCAGGAGGCTCGATGCTCGTTAGGGCGTGGTGCAGCGGAGTGGATGTCCTGGCTGTTTTCACTGAAGCGAAAGAGCGCTGTGGTAGTGATAGCGATTGTGTGGTATTTGGACCCTGACTGTTTTCTGTTTGTACCTATCGTGATGAGTTTGTATGGATGGTTGTGCTACAACTCACGTCGCGCTGAGAAGTTGATCAGCTCGAGCCTGTGAGCACCTGCCGAGCGCGATGAATGTTACATGTTTCTAAAGCCAACATCTGAATGTAGTGTTCTGTGGTATTTGACGGTGGGCGTTTCAGGTCGAATGGATGGATGGCCGACAGAATTGAAGGAATCTAAAACACGTTTCCCGAAATGTGACTCAACACCCCGCCAAACGCTAGGCCGGTTTCCGCACACAAATGCATTCTCCCGACGAACACGCACCACCACTTATGATGCACTTCTAAGGTTTCAGCAGGATATCATCCGCTGTCTATCCCATATACGAGTACTTATGGTAGGCACACGAAGCCACACCGGTGTTATATCGGTTCTGCTCTCTCTCCTCTCTCTCTCACACACTGCGCGCGCTCTCTCACTGCGCTCTCTCTCTCTCCTCTCTCTCTCTCTCTCTCTCTCTCTCTCTCTCTCTCTTTCTCTCACCCAGCTCTGCCACTGGACTGGTTCGGTCCGTCCCTGTGCGTCCATTTCTGTACCTAACCAGTAACCAGATACCCGGTGTGTCTCTATAATGAGTAACACGGCGCCGGAAGGCAGGGAAATAATGACCCCCCCCCCTGCGGTAGGCCAATACTCATTACCCAGCATGCCGCCTCTCTGATTCCTGTCACTGTTCTCAGTATGCACGCACAACCTATGTATAGTGCCTGCATTCACTGGACTGTTCCTGCCCTTCTGTAGTCCTTGCCGACTTCGTATCAACTCGGGCTTCCGGTCCTTAGTCTTCAGAGCATTGTCCAGTATTCGCCCAGTCCCGAGGCTCATGCGACCGCTCAGTTGTGTCTTCAGTCACACCCTTCTGTTCAGTCCTCATTCGCTATAAAACCTCAGATACTTTTTTTCCAACTTCTCAGTCCTTCTTGTGTCCTCTGGAGTTCTGTCCGTGCCACTCTCTCCTTCTTCAGACTGTGTTCACTCTCAAATATTCTCAGTCCTACAGCCCTGCGCTCCGTCAACTCAGCCCTCCCGGCTTATAGAGCCCCGCAGCTACACACAGCCCTCAGCTTTGAAGTTCCGCCAACACTGCTCGAGTTTGACGACGCTCAAGGGCTGATTCCGAGCATCCTTCAAGTGCTGTGCAAATTTGGCGTAGTTCTCTCGCGTCGGGATAAGTTTAGCCTACCCCACCAGGAATGGGAGGGAGGGGGCGATACCACTTTGTACGAGAGTGCGTCTTACTCAGAGCCGTTGCCGAACGCACTGCACTGGGGAGACCATTCTAGTCTCTCCAGAGTCAGTTTTCAGTCTCAGTCTACGCAAAACGCCAATTCGCTAAAGCTATCACAATGTAAATTGAAGCGAGTGACTTACCAAACCATTTTCGAGTGCTATCCTGCTTTATCATCCGGATCGAGGTTAATTCGTTCACTAAGAGGATCCGCACGATGACACCCCCTATTTTCCACAGCTTTCCACCATTACACCCAAGATTACTTTACTACTCCGTACACCGTCCCATCCAAAAACTCTCCATTTTTTTTGTGTCGGTTTTATTATACAAAATGAAGTCAAACCGCTCTCTCTCTCTCTCTCGCTCTCTCGCTCTGTCCACGGTCAGCGCCGTTGCGGTACAAAACAGACCGGGCGGCGGCGGCGCGCGGTTTCTCGTGTAACAATTTGGCGCCACCGTCCGCCGGCGGGAGGCGGGCGGCTCGCTTTCACATTGACAAGGCACCATTGGTGCGCCGTCCAGCACGGCGCTGCACCACACATTCACTAGACTGCCTACGGGAGTGGGGGGGGGGGGGACGCGGGGGTGTCACAGCACCCTCCACAAGCAATAACACCGGTTAATAGAGCGTTTTACACAACACAAAATAGACGTCGCCGTCGTCGCGGCGCGGCGGCGCAGCGTCGCGCGCTCTCAGCATTAACAAGCACATTTGCCACCAGTCTGCCTTCATTTCGCACCCCTCTATCCGGGGGGGGGGGGGGGTCGATCCGCCCCCGCCGTCAGCACAGTCAATGGGGACTCCCGGGCTGGGGTTTGACGCCGCTGTGAGCCGGGACTGCCACCGGGCTGCGCCCTCAGCGCCCCCTCGACCAGTCTGATCACACTGTCGATTTACGGCGCCTGAAATCGAGCCCTTCCAATGCGCTTCAACTGTCCTAGGACGAATGGATCGGTCCGAAAGCGTCCAACTGTCCATTTGAAGACGCCCCTCGAGCCAGTCCAAAGGTCTGTCTGAGTCTGTCATCATCAAGCTTCTCTACAACAGATGGCGTCCTCATCGCTGGCGCCTACGCTCTTCCCCCGTGCGAGCGTCTTTGCGAGTCCAACGTAAAACACTTGTCTTCATCAGTCTGTCCGTGAACACTGTGGGATCCAAGTCTTTCAACACGTGTGTGTTCTGTCCATATCACGATCTCACTATTCAACACTGTCGCCGTCTCGTCTATCCGTCTATCCGTCTCCGTCTTGCAGTCCGTCTTCCCGTCTTCCGTCCGTCTCATGCACTGTGGTGGCTGACTTTTAGAAGGCGTCGGTAGGTCGGCAGTCTAGGTGGCGCTGGAGACACCCCAAGCCTTCGAAAGAGCAGTCGGAGCCTGGCAGTCTAGGCGCAGTTCCCACCGGCGGCAGAGCTTAGCCTATCGAGCTTTGCGCCCAGCCTGGCGGGACAGCCCTAGCAACAGCTGCTTGTCAGACTTTCAGGGCTATCTCGGGCCCAGCGGGCTTAGAGACCTCAGCCACCAAGCCATCAGCCCCAGCCCGGCAGGGCAGCCCTACCCAGCCCGTCGGACAGCCCTCCCCAGCCCGGCAGGGAAGTACTACCCCAGCCCGGCTGAGCCCCCCAGTCCCCGGCTCGCCTCAGCCGAGTCCCCTCGGTCAGCTAGCACCAGTCGGCCGTGTAGGTGAAGTCGCGGAACAGCGCCTGGTCGGGTCCGGTCAGCACGCGCGCCTCCTTGGGCGGCGTCAGGACGGCCCGCTCCGAGGTAAACTCCTCGTCAAAGTTGGACACGTCCTCGACGCTTTTCTGTGGGGACGAGAGAGGGGGGGGGGGGGTGTTAGAGACTGGAGGTGGCACATTATCTAAATTTTGTCAAAATATCGAGGTTTGCCCATGAATGTCAACTTGTAACAAGATGGTAAGATTTAAACAAAGAAATGAAGCAGCGGTGGACATAAGCAAAGTGTGAAATGAATAACTACGCAACAGTCTGTATTTGTAAATGCATTGTAAACTATGTAAACCAGCAGAGAGCTAAAGAGAAAGGGTAGCAAAACAATAGCATGTCAAGTACTAAGGCCCACTCATCCGACATGAAACCGGTACGAGCTACACCCCTAGCACCTCCCCCTCTTCCACTCACGATGGTGGGCACGAAGGGCGGCCGGACGCGTCGCGCGAGCAGCTCCTCCCAGTCGACTCCGCTGAAGAAGGTCTGCTTCTTGACATCCTCGGCGTCTCGCTCGCTGGCACCCAGACGGCGCTCCGGGTTCTTACGCAACAGCTGACGGAGGGGAGGGGGAGAGGGGGGGTGTCATGGGTGGGTCACGAGGGGAGAAGGCAGATAAAGACGATGTCTAGATAGACAACTAAATACAATACGCCGGGATAAACAATTGATATACGAAATGATAGCGTGATACTTTCATATGCTTGATGGAACACACAGCTTGATGTAATATACGAACAGAAACAAATGTTACACTCATGGAGCTTCTCTCAGACCTCAGTTTAATTCACTGAATGCCTCCAACATCGCTGCCAAAAAAGCACTCCGCTAATCGCTTGCATCTAGTGGCCACGTGTAATACAATTTATACTCTGCCCCAACAGATGGCTCTGCCTACATCACCCAGCTTCGCTCTCCTGAATACTCACCCGGCGCATGATGGCGATGGCCTGCAGCGACAGGAAGCGTATAGTACCCAGTACCCACCCCTAGTACCCAGTACCAAACACTCCCCCCAGTACCCAGTACCGCAGTACCCAGCACTCACCCGGCGCATGATGGCGATGGCCTGCAGCGACAGGAAGCGCGGGTATCTGAGCTCGTCGTTGACGATACTGTCGAACACCTCCTCCTCGTCATCTCCCGGGAACGGAGACTCGCCGACCAGCATCTCGAAGATGAGCACCCCCAGCCCCCACCAGTCGACGGCGCGCGTGTACGTCTGTTCGGTGAGCACCTCGGGCGCCAGGAACTCTGGCGTGCCGCAGAAGGTGCCCGTACGGTCGCCGTAGCCCATACCTTCCTTACAGAGACCGAAGTCGGCGATTTTGACGTAGCCGTCCGTGTCGAGAAGCAGGTTGTCCAGCTTCAGGTCACTGAAGAGGGAGAGAAAGGCGGGTCAGGTCAGGTCAGTTCAGGTAGCATTGATAGAAACGATACAAGAACCAGACATCTTCTTCAGCTGAGATGGGAGCAGTGTAAAAAACAGTAAGGCATTCGTCTAGGAGATCGGTTAATTCTGCTGCAATTTTGGTGTTAAACGCACCCGCTTACAAAAAAAAAAACTAATGGGCGCAAAATAATCAAAGGAACATAATCGTGCTAATAAAATGGAGGGACGATGATGATCAGTGATCACTAAAGCCCAATAATGCTTACCAACGACCTTAGGTTTCATGCAAATACTCAGTCCTATCTCACACTGAAAATCCCATCGTTAACCAGCTGCAGCTACTGTCTGAGCCGTACGCATAACTCCACACACATTCACTCCCAACACGGCACTGATCCCGTCTGAGCCGGGGATAATCTACAGTGGGTGGGGGAGGGAGGGGGGATAATCCCATCCGGTCGGAGGAGCGGCACACGGGGGTGGGGGAGGGGTTAAAGCTCAAGGTCGGATTTCAGTGGCACGTGCCAGTACACGCAGACCTGCATGATGAAACAGCCTCGTATACATGAAACAACGCCACTAGGGCGGTGATTAACCTTAAAAATTGTCCACTATCCAGCCCGGCTGCGGCTGCGGTCCAGAGCGAGGACCGAGGAAGGCGAGGAAAAGAGAACAGGAAGGGCGAGTACGAGCGCTAGGGCTAATGAAAGGGCAAGAATGTAGGCTAGAAATATGACTATGAGCTAGAGAAAGGGCAACAGCTTGAACTGGGGCTGACCAAGAAAGCAAGGTGGAATTAGTGAATGGAACTGGAATACAACATAATACTGGACTAGGATACAGGTGAGGGCGGTGGCAGGAGAGATACGAGACCAGAATCCGCGGTGAGTGTCACCTACCGGTAAATGATTTTGTTTTCGTGCAGGTACTGCAGGCCAAGCACCACGCAGGCAGCGTAGAACACGGCGCGTGGCTCGGTGAACACGTCAGAGTGGATGTGCATCATCAGGTCACCACCGGCCGCGTACTCCATCACAAAACACACGTGACTCTGTGGACAGGGGTACAGTTACTCCATCACAAAACACGCGTGACTCTGAAATAGGGGTACAGTTACTCCATCACAAAACACACGTGACTCTGTAATGGATAGACAGGGAGGAGGCAACATACTTCATTATCAAATCACAAAATCACGTACCAGAGAAAAACTTCACTGACTTATCTCGAACTTTGTGTAACTGCTATAGCTAAGACAGCTGGCTCCGCGAAAGCGTGATAGTCTAGACAACTGCCGGAATGGTATAACTGATTCGTATTCCTTATACAGGGGTGTGAAACACGAACACGCAGTCGACGGACCGAACCAGACTAGGGTGTTCGCAGAGCCATCTCCCACCCACTGGCTGCGAGCTGCTGTCAGCGCCCCCATTTGCCTCCCGTTTAACCAGTGTCTCATTAGCACAAAATACGGTCACAGCAACAGAGTATACCCCGTCCCGAAACAGACCAGACACTGGACAGGGTACACTCCTAGTCCAGGCTGCGGCTCTCAAACGGGCCATGACGGCCAAGAGTTGGACATTGATCAGACGGATCAGTGTGCGGAGCACTGGCGAGCTCGGAACGCTCCCCGCTCGCACTGTGCGTCATGGAACTCACGAATATTTTGATTTTCTTATTACATCCCTTTGTTAGGCCCCATATATCGTGGAAAATTATCTCATCTATCGCACCATGCGTTTTTTTCTACACGTTAGAATTTACACCTATCCCTCACAAGCAAACCTTAACCTAGCTATCTTTGATCTTGAGCCTACGTGATACGTCTCTATCCCTTTCAACCACCTTCCTGCCCACTTCCTCCCTCTCTCTCTCTCTTCCTCCCCGGTGTTCCGTACCTCAGTCTGGAAGCAGCTGAACAGGTTGACCAGGAACGGGTGCCGTACAGAGTTGGCCACCTCGAAGATGCGCTTCTCCGCCAGCAGCGACTCCACCTCGTCGCGGGAGATGATGTCGGCCTTCTTCAGCGCCTTGATGGCGTAGTACTCGCCCGTGTTGCGGTACTGAGTCAGAATCACCTGTGGAGGGGGGGGGGTTAGTGTATCAGCCCGTAGTACTCGCCCGTGTTGCGGTACTGAGTCAGAATCACCTGTGGAGGGGGGGGGGGGTTAGTGTATCAGCCCGTAGTACTCGCCCGTGTTGCGGTACTGAGTCAGAATCACCTGTGGAGGGGGGGGGGGGATTAGTGATACCAGTCCGTAGTACTCGCCCGTGTTGCGGTACTGGAATCACCTGTCCAGAACGGGTTGGTTAGGAGGTGAAAACAAACCAGAGACAACAGAATCGTATGAATTGAATAAAAACTCTGCTTGCATCCAGAGCATTCCATTGAACATTGAGAAGCGAACGGTTTCCTGACCGATTCCAGACACTAAGTGGAGGGTTTGAGACGAAATCAGTTGATGACATAATATTTATCGAGTCTTTGGACCCCAGTCCAAAGTCTGGTTCTCGACACCCCTTTTCACTCGTTCTTTGGCATTTATTTATCAGACAAACATCACCCAATGTATTATATCCCAGCCGCTCCTCAGCTCAGTTTTCGATGTATTCTGCCCTCTGTTTCTCCCATCCCCTCTGTGTCCAGTCCGTTTCCCTCCCATTCCCACCTTTCCGAAGTGTCCGCGTCCCAGCACGGCGATCATCCTGAAGTTGTCCAGAGTCATACCGCTGAGCTGGGAGACTCGGTGTGACTCGTAGGCCGAGTCACGGTACTCGACGGCCGTGGCGCGGCGGCTCGGCCGCAGAGGCACCATCGGAGGCTCCTGGGGGGGGGGGGGGGCAGGTCAGTCGGGTCAGAGCGGTCAGTATGGGGGTCAGAGCGGCGGCTCGGCCGCAGGGGCACCATCGGAGGCTGGCTTACAGGGGAATAGGGCAGGTCAAAGGGGTCAGAGGGAAGTCACAGAGGGTCATAAGGGAAAAGGGGTTACAATGAGGACTAGCGGGGGTCAGGGTTGGTAATGCCGGATCATTGGCCGTTGAGCGAGGATAATGTAAAGCCTGAGATGAAGTAATCAGAAAAATACTGCACAGGGACACAAAATAACCCGAAAAGAGCGAAAGTTGGCAGATAAGTGGTCTAGAATTAGCTTACATCATACTGATATACTATTAACATTACAAAAAATATTAACATAACATTGAGAAACAAGTGGTACAAACCAGCAGCAGTGTAGCAACACCTATCAATGATGCCATTTGAAATGTCAACTGCAGCTGCAGGCTGTCCCAAGCGGCGCGGATCAACCATTGTCGTTAGCCGTAATGATCAAAACAGGGTCCGATTGCATTGACACTATCAACACCAATCAACCCATTGAGGGACGTCTGTCATTCATATGACAGACCTTGGCACAAATGAAAAGATCGAATCTCCTTTCGTTAGCCTTCATTAGCAAGTGCAAATCAACAAAGCAATGTCACCCGGGTTGCTACACTGGACTCGTTCCAGCCAGTTGCATATGTTTCTGTCGGGAAACCACTAAGCTGGTGGCACTAGTCTAACGGGTACTGGGACGATTGCTTACACAACAGACCTGGCATGAGTTCAGATCAGCGGTGTTCACAAGCCCCCCTCATTTACAGCTCATTTACATCCTGGCGGCGGACGGCACGGTACGATGAGTTACAACCCCCCTCTGGGTATCTATCAGAGCGGGACTTCCCAAGGTCGACCGGGCCGTACCAACTCCTCCCCAAACCATTCTGCACTGCTGACCAGACTGGAGAAGGGCGGCCCAGGGCTGGACAGCTGTATTACGGGGGGGGGGGGGTATATCTCTTCTTCAGTCTCCCGGGACCGCACCCCTGCCGCGGGGAGTACAGTTCCAATGAAATATTGGTCTGCAGTAGCCGCCCGTTAAAACACCCCATTCGCCACGGGCCAGTGGCTTATTTGATGGGATACTGATGGGCTCGGAGACAAACTAATAATTAACAGAGGCTTTTATAGATTATGGCCAGTATGTTGAAGGTCGTGGGCTTTCACGTTTGAGACGCGGTAACTACTGAAGCCAGTGGGCATCACGGCAACTGACAATGCATTGCAAACACGACATTACTCGGCAGTACTGAAATCAATCATTGTTATACATTGGAGGAATGCACAGGTATCGTTTCCGTCAAAGGCCAACTATCTCAATTGTGACACAGCCGACCTACCCTCTCGTCTCTGCTGCTAGTAACAAACAGCTCCCATGCTCTCTCTCTCTCTCGCTCTCTCTTTCTCTCCCCCTCTCTCCCCTACTCACATCATCCTCGGGTTCGACGACGATGGGCTCTTCTGTCGGCTGCTGCGCCAGCCCACGACCCCCCACCGACATATGAGTGACGGTGACTCCGGCACCCTCGTCCCCCACCTCGATAATGTTGACATGGCGGCTCTCGCGCTGCCCGGGGGCGCCCAGCGGCGATATGTCACCCGGCAGCTGCGGGGGAAAGAGGTCAGGTCAGGTCAGGTCAGGTCAGGTCACTGATTTCAACGGTCAAATTAGTCAGATGAGAATACCGTACCATTGGCATTCCCACAATTTTGGCGAATGAAGTTAAATAAACAGCTGAAGTTCACTAGCAAGTACTTTTTCCAGCAGTTTGGATATTACACAAACTGGTTTGGATATCACACTAGGCTGCTCAAGGCCACCTAAACCAATCAGCTGTCTCAAGGCCACCAAGTTGACAGTCAGCTAGCAACTGCAACATTTTATCACGGTACACACACCCCGGTTTACGCAAGCGTTAATAACCGGGGTTCGGACAGCAATGCATAACCAGTCGCGTGTCTACCGGAGCAGTGCCATCTCTGAGTGACCCCCCCCCCCCTACAGCGGGGGGGGGGTTACGTCACAGCGCGACGATTAGGGCGCGCCGAGACAATAAATGGCGCGGGGCGGAGCCGCGGGTTAACTGGGGGGTGCGCGGTTAATGATCAGAACATCACGGTCAAACCACAGCTGCTCGGCCTAATGGACGAACAAAACACTTACCACTAATAGCACACGAAAACACCTCACACTGAACAAAACACAGGTGATTGTCGAACAAAACGCTTTGACCCAATCATCGGCAATGGGTACAGATAATGGTGAACACCGGCACCAAAGGAAGGCGCACTTACCGGTACGAGAGGCCGGCACTTACCTTCCCTGTAACGCCCACTGTTCGGACGAGGCTCCGATGGTTGGGCCGGGGAGGGACGAGCTGATGGTGTTTACCACCTTTTACAGAGTCGTCGGTGAAGTCACACCCACTCACCTGGGGTTGGTGGTTGAACAGAGAAGATGACTTCTATCAGCACGACATTGTGGACACGGATTTTTGTGAATACGGATTGGAGTGGCAACAACTCTCATCCAGTGCCAATCTCGAGAACACCACGGCCGAACTAAAGGAGACCTCTACTTCAAATAGCAGCACCTGAGTACAACTTTAAGAACAAATTCCAAACATAAACGCCGTGCATGAACTTCAAGCACCAGTTCCAAGCACCAACTCCGGGTCGGCGCGCGGCGACTCTCGCCGACCTGACCTGACCCCATAGAGGAAGTGTGAACACCGAGTTCCGTCTTGTCACCTACAAATAATCCCCGAGCCGCGACATGACGGTATTTATCCCTGGCATAACTCAGCACCCTGTCAGAGCATTTCCAACCAATTCACCCGTCTGCAATCAGGGATTTATGTGGGGCCGCCGCAATGATGACACGTGTGGCGCCTGCAACCGGGTAATCACTGCTTGCACCACATAGCGGAGTCACCCAGCAATCCACGGATAGCTTTCTGGTATTTTCAGCTGGTCGTTGTCCACGATTACCTCTCAAGAGTAGCGAATAAACGACAGTCGCCGAGCAACCATCGGCAGTGGGCGGGGTCAAAGTAATGCTGGGCGTGTCCTTTGCCCTCTATACGTCTCCACTGTCCATCTCTGTGCTGTCGTGGGGGCGGATCAACACATTTATCTAGCCGCGCCGGAGACAAGCCGCCCCCGCTGGTTATAGCGGCGCGGGACGGACGGTCCAGCCTGCAGTCGAATGGTCGCGCTACGAACAGCGGAGGGAGGCCCACACACAACACGCGGTGGACAGGAGGCTCAATAGGAGACGCCGAGGCGAGGTAGATTCAGGCGAGATGAACATTTGAACGGTACTGAAGCTCAGCTTATACCAGACATATGTCCCGTCTTGGAAGAATGAAGGCATACCAAGAATGAAAACCACATTCATGCCAATATCGAGAGCTTACGTAAAATGCACGGCATGCAACATTGCGATATGGAAGTGAGATTGCCGAATGGTGAAACTTGCGTAACCGCATCAGACAAAACGCTCCAAACTTTTGAACAATAGAGTTAGGACGACACAACAATAGGCTGGTAGTCATTGACCCCTAGCTAAGCGGTCAGGAGCTTATCTTTACATTGTCTGTCAGCAAGCTCACTTTTAAAACAGGGAATCACCTGTCCCGCCATCCGGTCCGCCTTTCTAAGCAGCTGGTCATTGACATAGATCAGCAGCAATGCATACCTTCATGTGCGAGGACTTTGAAAATGTAATTGGTATTACAATCTGTCCAGCTAATTCACGAGTGACCAATTTAGCCTCTTGTTTCTTTTCTATAAATATAAATTAGACACGATGTCTGGCATAAGGGTAAAGGTAACGCCAACTTATTAAAATATCGCATGTAAAACCATTTCCACCTAACTCCGCCCCGCCACCCGTGCACTGTCAGGTGCGGCCCGGCCCCCTCCCCCGCGGTGCCGGGCGCTGTTTTCGAGCAGCGCTCGTCACGCAATGCCGTCCATCTATTGGTCGGTCTGTCTGTCCGTGACGGCTGAGTGTGGGCGGGTGACGCGTCAGACGGACGACAAAGGTGGCAGCCGGACTGGACCGGACCAGGACCCACTCAGGAGTGACAGGGGACCACCGGCGGCGGACCACGGACCATCAACAAAACAGATCCGGAGTCCGGGACTGTGGCAAAATACCAGGAATCAGCGCGCCGAGACGGTGTCTAGAACAGACATGGAACCAGTGCAGGGCCCCAGGTGGCAAACACAGGACCCGTAAGAGACCGCAAATGGGTGAGAGCCGAGGCCCTGTCAGCCGGCAGAGAAATAGGTTAGATGCCAAAAGACGGAAATCGAGGACCAGCTAACTCGTGCGAATCAGGAGTGAGGAGCCAAGCGCCCTTGTCATTCCAAGGTGACTATAGCGGTTACCGTTAGCATAACATAGGATCGGACTAACACCGCTCCCAACCTTGGTGGGTACGCAGCAGCATTCGTCCTGTGTCACCAGATTAAGGATTCGCCACCGTCCATTGTTCATAAACCGCCGATACAAACAATAGGGACGCCCCTAACGACGTGTCATCTTCGTACAAACTTGGGAGAGATAGCGACCTACAGTACAGAACACCAGCTCCCAGTCAGATAGCGCCGTATGCGGACCTTCCCTACCATACATATGGCTAATGGCATAACTATTACGGAGACGAGACACAGAGATGAACAAAGAAACATGACAATTACGGATAGTTCCTAGTCTGAGGGCATGCTGAAGATGGTTATGGGACGAGGGATGAGAGATGCTGGCCTGGTCAGCTGCCGCACAGGCATATAGAAGACGTTGCTCTTGTATCCCGTTGCTTTCCGATGCGAAGATCGACCTTAATCGTGCAGCGATGCTATTTACAACTCTCTTAGGCCTAGTAACTAGCCTTACAGAGACTTCTTCAGCAAACAAGGAGCCGATACACGATACAGCCCTGAGGAGGCGGGTTCGCCACACTGATGGATGATGGGCGGAGGCGGGCGGCACAGCTTCAAACCGAACCGCGGAACGAGTAGAAGAGAGGGAGAGAAGGAGGAGGAAGGGAGAGCTTCAAACTGCACCGCCGAACGGGGAGAGGAGGGAGAAAACCGGCCCGCCCACCGCGTGTTTATCGTCTATCGTCCCGCCTCGCCACCTCTGTAGAAGCGGCGCCGACACGAGAAACGCGGCGCAGTTCGCCACCACAGCGAATCAACCCGACTTGGATCCGTTCAATAACGAGCTTCCCAGCCCTGCAGCAGGAGCTGCCTGAGCTCTGAAGCCGCCTGGCGAGCCTGGGAGCTGCCGGAGGGAGCTGAGGACGCCGATTAGCTGGGAGAAGGGCTTAGGCTTACTGCTGACGAGCAAGGACTTCAATCGGCGTAAATGGCTTATTGGTTTTTAATTAATTGGTTTTATAGACCTTACTTATAGTTTGTCTGCTGCCAAGCAGTGAACAACTTAAGAAGAATCCAAATAAGACATGATCCTTATGAAGCGATCGTTTTTTTTTCCGTTCCGTTCCGTTTATTGATTATAATTTGGGATCACACATTGAACAATTCATAATTTATGGCACTGTCAAACGGGATTGGTCGGAAAGGATTCACATGTTAGTTTTGTTAGAATACGGACAGTTAGTGTTAAAGGTTATATTGGGGAGTTTGACAGTGCCTAACCAGACGGTAACACAAAGACGAGATCAAAAAGACGAGTCAGCGGTCATTCCAGAGAGCGGCGACCCAGCACCGCCGCCGAGCGCAGCGGCCATCCGGCACCCGGCGCCAAGCACCAGCCGGGCCTTGGTCGATGGGGATGGTGCCCGGAGAGCGGCGACTCAGTATCGCCGTCCAGCACACAGTCATCGGGCGTTCGACGCCGTCATCCCGCCGGTCCAAGGTCGGCAGTAGCGCCACAGAGGTGGCGCCCGCTCCACCAGTGGCGCTCGTCCCACCAGTGGCGCCACCCCATGGCAGCATGAAGATGTAGCCCGTTGTCAAGTCAGGAGAGGGGGCACCGCTGCCGGTCACCGCAGCGGTCGCAAGGTGCCGGTCATCACACATCCAACGGGCCGCGGCCGAGAATGAAGTCTAGTCGGCTGCCCCGTAGTCATGTCCAACAAGCTCACTGGGACTTCGACAGTTCGAGAGCGGCGAATCAGTATCGCCGCTCAGCGCAGCATTCATCAGGCGCTCGACGCCGTTAGCCAGCCGGTCGGCTGTACCGCCTCAGAGATGGCGCCTGCTCCACCAGTGGCGCTCGTCCCACCAGTGGCGCCACCCCATGGCAGCACGAAGATGTAGTCCGTTGTCAAGTCAGGAGAGGGGGCACCGCTGCCGGTCACCGCAGCGGTCGCAAGGTGCCGGTCGTCGCACATCCAACGGGCCGCGTCCCGAGAATGAAGCCATCGGGCTGCAACCGTGGGTAGCCGCCCTGTGCGCCACAAGGACGGCATCTCCTCAGGGAGCGGAAGCAACAGCCGCCATCCGTCGCAGGCCGCAGCAGCCCCCAGCAGCATGGCACCGGGCTTCGACCGGACCCTGTCCAGCCGTGTAGCTCAGCTGTAGGGGCAGATGGTCGGAGAGGAACGTTAGGCCGGGGTCAATCACATTATCGTTCAGGGGTCGGGAACGTAGGCAGGTACAAACTGGTACGATGCTGGGGTATTTAAAGAATTGGAAAGAAAACTTGAGTAGCGTAGTGTTGAATGGCCATTGTAAATCTGTATATGAATTCATGTATGAATAAATATGTATACCGATATCGATGAACTAACAATACATACATGCTAAACGGAGTGCAATGCTAATCCCGTTTATGATTAACACTAGACATAATGTGTTTGGCTAAGTGCAGCGGGATATAGGTTGTTTAACTTCCTGAGGTCCCGCTGCACGCCAATAAGTCAAGGAAGCAACGGATGTGGTGGTGGTGGATCAGAACTATCAGGGAAAAAAGTAAATATGGAAAAAAAGGGTAAATAGAAAGAAGACAAGAGCAAGTAATACAGCTGAGTTATTGGAAAATCTAATAGTCATCAATGAAGATATGCATAAGACATTTCTTAAAAAGGGATTTACTGGAGGGGATATCACGAAGGTTAGGTATACGCGAGGCAATTACTTGGTTCCAGATTACTGGTGCTCTACAAAATGGTGAAAATAAACGATAATTGCGTAACCGATAATTAGGCACCCCATCCCCGTTGTCCGTAGAGACCAGCTCATTGAAGTGCCTGGGATTACGAACTGGACGAGAATGATTACTTATGTACAAGGAGAACCTAACCGAAATAGCATCAGGTAACCGGTCAAAGAGGAAGTCATGTAAAACAAGAAGCAGCTGTTTGTTTAAGACATCACAAAGCTTAAGAAGTTTAAGTTCACGGAAGAGTGGAGAGGTATGGGACAGGCGACTCACACCAGCTATGAGCCTGATCGCTCGCTTTTGCGCAGTGATGATAGGAATTAGGTTACATTCATAATTCGAGCCCCATACAATCAGGCAATAACTAAGGTAGGGAAGGACAAGGGAGTTATACAAGAGGATCATGAGTCTCTTATTAAGGAGATATTTGGCTCGGCCCATTATGCCAATATTTCTACTAATGACGCAAGATACTTTACTAATGTGAGACTTGAATTTAAGATTTTCATCTACTAGGATACCCAAATACTTTACTGTAGAGGCTCGCATTAAGTTAACACCTTTAGCAGGTATGGAAAGGCCTTCCATCTCATTACTACTAGGGGAGTAAAGCTGGTAAACTGTTTTGGAGGTCGAAAGAGACAACCGATTTGCGTGGAGCCACATAAGTACTCTTGGAAACGACCGTGAAACTGCACGTTGGAGCTCAGCACGCGATTTTGCAGAGTAGAGGATGGCTGTATCGTCGGCGAACAAAAGAAATTTGGCTTCATCACATACTTTAGGAAGGTCGTTTATATAGAGAAGGAATAAGATTGGCCCCAAGATTGAGCCCTGGGGCACACCACACGTAACGTCAATAGTACGCGAAATAGTATCATTAAATTTTAGACATTGCTTTCTACCAGTAAGATAAGATGAAAAAAGAGACAGGGCATTACCCGTAATGCCATATTTTGACAGCTTTTTAAGAAGAATATTTGTATTTACTGTATCAAAGGCACGAGCCAAATCAAGGTAGATACCCACAGTGGAGTGGCCAGCAACAAGTTTGGCAGTAATAATGTCGTGCAAAAGGCAAATGGGCATATACGTTGAGTGATTGGCTCTAAATCCAAATTGTTGCCCAAAAAGTATGTTATGTTCAGTGATAAAACTAAGGAGTTGAAAATGTATCACTGACTCAAGAACTTTAGAAATGGCAGGTAACACTGAGATAGGCCTATAATTCGAAAATAACGATTGCGAGCCTGATTTATATATTGGAGTAATCAGAGCAGTTTTCAGCACAGCTGGAAATTTGCTCTTAGTGATGCAGGTGTTAACTAAATGAGTTACGTGTGGAACAATCACTGGAATCAGATGTTTTAAAAGTTTACTGTTGATGCCATCCAAGCCAGCACCAGAATCCTTTAGCCCTTCAACAATGTTTAAAACAACTGCTTGGTTATTCTTAGGTGTTGTTTTTGATCCGCATAAAACTTGGCAGAAAGCTCGTTAAAGTACTTGGTCTGTATAGCTCAGAGGTAGAGCATTGGAGCGCTAATCCAAAGGCCCGGGGTTCGAGTCCCCGTACAGCCCAAATTCTTTAACGAGCTTGCAAAAGATGACTGATGTCATCACTGTCTATCGTGGAAGCCGTATGGCTACCCATCTACGCTGGAGTACGAAAAACATCATCTCACGCTCAAACTGCTTGGTTAACTGGCTGAAAAGCTAATTCATTTGGAACCGCAACATCATTCAGGTATGTTAGAGGATCAACCGTGCAGGGGCCAAGAGCTGCATCCAAAGTTGGGGCTACTTGAGCGTAATAGTCGTTAAACATGCATGCCAGCCTATCAGGCGCTGTGACTGTACCGCTTTCAGTCTCGAATCTGCTGGGCAGATCCCTTTGTGTTTTTCGTTTATTAATAGCCTCTAGCAAATCAGCCCAGAGCCTCTTGGGATTGCCAGCATTCTTTTCAAATTGTGAACGGTAGTAATTTTGTTTGGCATGTCTCAAAGTAAGTCTCAGAGCATTACGGTACTTCTTGTACTTATTCAGTTTATCATTGGAGCGATCCTTTAGAAATGCCTTCAGAAGAGCGCTCCTCGTGTTCATAGAGCGTAGGAGCCCTGGTGTTACCCAGGGTTGTACGGGGATGCTTTTCCTGGAGGTTTTGATTGAGGAGAGTTCTGAGACTTTGGTCTGTATTACAGATATTAGCTTACTAGCACAGTCGTCTGGATCGTCCAGTTCCAAAAAGCCCTCCAGACTGTTGAGAACATTTACTTTGAGTTCATCAATTCGATTATAGTTAAATTTAGGTCTGGATGCAGCTCCTTTGACAGTTGGGCTTTGTTTGACCAGGTCGGTAGTGCAGCAAACAGCTTGATGGTCAGCGATCCCCGCACAGATAGCCCCACTAAATGTGATGGCATCTAGGACATTTGTGAAAATATTATCAATGAGAGTTGCTGGGAAGGGTGGAGTGGTTGATATTCTCGTAGGAACAGTGATAGTAGGATAAAAGCCATGAGAGCTCATACAATCTAAAAATTGCTTAGAATCATGATTATCATTGTATTTGAATAGATTCACATTAAAGTCTCCACCCCAAAAGCATGGCTTCTTCAGTTGAACTACTTTATCAAGGGTATCTTCAAGAAATGGCATCAAAAGGGAAAGTGGGTATGACGGTGACCTATATAGAGTACACACAACAAATGGGACTCCATGTGGAAAAGTAATAAGAATGCTAATACATTGAAACTCAGTTTGGCATACAGACATCTCATCGATCACTGCACAGTATGGAAAGATTTCACTCTTGATATACATGGCACAGCCCTTGCCAGTGACATTATCAGTGGGTATGGAGTGGATCATTTCATACCCATCAATCCTGTAACAGTCAGTGATGTCAGATTTAAGCCAAGTTTCAGAGATCAACAGTATATCGACTTTAATATTTTGCTTGGAAACAAAAGCAACAATAAAATCAAAGTTTTGGTGGAGTGAGCGAGCATTAATGTGAACCATTGATAAGTCCGTTTTGTCTAGCACATGGGACATGGATGAGGGCAGGATTGTTTTGCATTTAGAGGAAACAGATTGTAAATGGGGTATACTTATAGGAATATTGTGTAGGATAGGAGAGTCATCAGGAACAAGTTTGGGAAACCCATCCTCAAGGATTACATGGTAAGTTCCATTGTAGGAAATGGTAGAAGACTAGAGAGTACTATTCGTAGAGAAGATTACAGATGCCAATCAGTAAACACAAATGATTGAAGAAAAAAACAAACAATTACCTAAATCTGGAACTGAAATAATAATATATAATAAATAAATAAACTGAGGGGTTTCAGCAACCACAATCAGAGACAGGATACACTACTTAAGAAAACAAGTTCAGGTACTCGGGGTACATGCAGTTTTAAGCTATAAAATGTCAAATAAGGGGTAAGCAGCACTCAACACAGTGGCATGTGGCATTCCCGCACATTATCTGCCTTAAAATGGACTCCACTCATTAAGCACCCCAAATAGACGCCTCCTACACCGTACAGCCATCCTCCTAAGCTGGGATCAATGACTGATGATAAACTCGACGGGGACTCCGTGGACAAGGGGCGTGTCACCACGGTCCGATGGGCGTCAGACACCGTGCTCCGCCCTATAGGACGGTGGTCTGATGAGTCCTAACACCGGGACATCTCCTGAGCTACAGAGACACAGCGGGGACTCGGGATGGACGCCTCCGTCCTGGCTGAAGCAGTCACTGACCCGATAACTATTAACCAAGCAAGGCTGTTCAGTGTTAAGCATCAGACAAGGCAAAGTATTCACCGTCTTCGCCTGGGTAAGGATACTGTCCTTGCCTACAATCACGAACCAAAGCCAATGACCGGATAACCTTGTGAGCCTTAGGCATCAGAAACAGCAGCGAGGCTGCTATCAGTAATGTCTGAGTAGGTGTGAAGTTAAAGCGTCCTCGGATACGGCCAGAAACGATTGCAGAGTAAGGCGCAAGCAGACTTCCTAGTTTGTACTCTCATACACGACTCCGGCAGTGAACTGTGCAGTGTGCAGACTGGTAGCGCCGCCGCTCGTTCTATTGGTTCAGGACGTACTGCTTAGTCAGTGTACCCTACACACAGAGAGACTCCGGAACTCACACACGAGCCAAGGACGGTGGACTGTTAGCGCTGGCTGTCGGCACACAACTTGGAGGGTGGGGCGGAGACGATGCCAGGGTAGCTCGAGTACAGGGTACGGCCAAAGGATGGAGTCATATGGAGTCATTGGTCGTAACTGTAGGACGTAGGCGCAGTCCAGCGGAATGCAAATAAATGTCACTGGCTGGGCTGCACTGCGCTGACCATAAAACGGCGGCATAAACTGCAGTTCACCAATAGTGTGCTCTACGTGCATTCGCCCCTCTTGACATTAACGTCTTCGTCATATCATTTCAACACACTAAGGTCCAATCTAAAATTCCCCAGATTCATTCCGTTCAGCACCTTCCACCTCCATGAGAGCACTCGACCGTTCCCGATCCGTTGTGTTCGGCTGACACCCAGCCTGACACGACGCGGCGCTATTCTCCCCAGGTCAGCCGGGCCACCCGGGGTCACTCCGGGGTCACCTCGGAGTCACACCTACCACAGTCGACAGTCCGGGTCAAGTGGCACCTTTCGAAACGGCAGCGCAGGTATCTTCATCAACAGCACACGCGCCGAATGGCACGGCATCGCGTGGGGAGGGAGGGATTCGCCGTCTTTTTGTAAGCTCTCGCTGGGATATTCAACATGTCTTACATCATACCGACAGCAGTAGTAGGGGAACAAAAAGGTAAAACACTGCTCCTGGAACAGCAGCTATTCACGGCGAAAAATCGACAGAGCCACGATGGGTGATGTCACTGACAGCCATTCGTCTCCGTGCTGCCGCCCACACATTGATCACAAAGTCGGTAGCGGTGGAGCGAAGCATGTGCCAATGTAGACTCGCAGGCGGGCTGAGGTCGCGAGTTTACAATCAGAACCGCGAAAACGACCGTGTGTTGACACCAGGCTGGTATGTGACGAAGTGAAACCGGTTTTACGGGCTACTGTTGACATTGGGGCGGCACCTCGGCTGTGTGTTGAATATTGATGTTGGAGAATCCATTCACAATTCAATGTCACCACACAATGCAAACATTTATATCACAAACCGATCGGTGGTCACAAGTAGAGCGAGACTTCTGCTACTCGGCGACGGGACTAGCCCGCTGGAACCGCAAGCACCATCACTTCCACGGACCTATACCAGCAGGGGGCGGACCGGTTCGTAAAGCCTCCCACCTGCTGTGGCTCCACAGCCTCCGGAGCTGCCCCAGCTCACAGCTTTGGCAGCTCTCCAGGCGGGCGGGCAGAAATCGGGGCAGACCGGCCTCCGACCGGGCCTGGGTCCGGTCTGATCAGGGCGTGGCAGAGCACTTTGGGATGGGAATCACGGACACTGGGGAGGAGCTGGCTTGAAAGACGTCCTCGAAAGATAATCCAGCGTGGCTATGCAGGATTTACGATAAAAATGCTAGCAATTTGCTATCACTACGAATCAGTAGCTTACCAATGGCAAGAGTTAAGCGCTGCAACAAGGTTCCATGCATTCCCAGCATTACCCCACGATCGTTCTCCATCATGAATGAATATCGAAAGACATCAGGCTCCGGCGCATCAGGTGACAGGTTTCGCCCAGTCAGGTGACAGGCTCCACTCAGTCAGGTGACAGCCCGCCACGACTGTCACCGTGTCTACTGTCTGTCTGATCCAACCTCAGTGCCCACTCGCCTCCCAAACCTCACGATCCCGCCAATCCGACATCGCAGACATTCAGGACAGTCTGCCATGTAAATCGACCTCCACGCGGCCCGACATTGACCGCCGGTCCGCGACTATCGGAGCCATCTCTGCCGGTAGTGCACACCGCCGCCGCGGGCTGCGGGTGCCCCTGAACTGGGTACCGGGGCCGGCGCAGTGTCCGGTCAGCTAGCGTGACGGTCAGCGGCCGGTGACATCTGGTCCGTCTGGCACACGCAGGAGGTGATGTCATCGGGACACCTGACGTCGTGATGTGGTGATGGTAGGAGTGGAATGAGAACAGGTGGGTGCTGAAAGTGGCATCCGGGAGGTATAGCAACAAACTGCCTCTGTGTCAATGAGACAGCGGATTAGCGCCTCGCAAGGAAACTTTTGCCGAAACCTAATGCGCGTTATCAGCAGCAATGAAAATTGCAGCATTAATACTAGCACCTTGCAGAACATCAGTGACAAAAACCGATTCGTTCATAACTGCCTGACGAAATGGCCTGCATTTATGCGAAACAAGAAAACCACAGGTCCAATGCCAGGTCCTTGAAGAACACCGGTAATAAATCTCCAATGATGCTTCACCGGCTGTCGAGACGACCCGTCGACACCAGGCGCCGACCAAGGACAGCACCCTGTCCATAGCGGCGCCCTTTTCGGCAGCACTCGCCCTCAGGTGTGCTGTATAATGACCCAACGCACGTGCCGTGCCGGGTCAGCCACCACCCGGCCATTAACGTGGTCCGGAGGGTGTCTCCCTTCACCGGAGCGTGCAAAACGTCCACCCCCGTGGCACTCACCGGTTGTGCAATTCACTCAATATACCCTGGTGCAACCTCTCAGAGAGAGAGGACGAGCTCTAGTGCACGGTCAACGGACGATAGAGTGGACAGTCTATTCACCAATGATAGTGTCAGCTGGTTGGTGTAGGACTTACGTGCTAGCCTCGAACCTTCGCTCGGTTGTCTATCCATCTATCCAGCCGTCTGTCCATCAGATAGCGACTGCTCCGACCCACAACTAACCCACTCGGCCTCTCACGCCGAGTCGTTTGTCCAGCCTGTGCAGTGTATCACCGGCACACTGTTGTGTCCGGCCGCTGGGGCGGGTTCCTCCCGGCTGGGGGCGGACGCTCTGCCGTGTCACTGCAGCACCATTGTACCGAGGCGCCGGTCCACCCGCCTCCCGCGGCTCCGACAGACCCCTCACAGGGGGAGGAGGGCCGACACGACACGCAGACGCACCGAGCAATACAAACGGGTCTGAGGTTCCCAGCGAGGGTGACTGTCAAAGGCAGCGGACAAACAATGCTTTTTTTTGTGGTGCCAGGACAAACAAGGAGCCACAAACAGTACACACTGAGGCCAATGGGGGTATCTACTCTCAGCATGACCACAGTATTGTACGTAGGTGGAACAAAAGTTGGAAAGTCAAAACACAAACTACCATACCGACCAAGATAGGCTTTCATTTTACTATCGTTAATGGTAGCAAACCTCCGCTTACACATGTTTGGCCGCTGGAACACCTGGCCTAATTCATGCAGTGTGAACAGCCAGCCAGATGTCCTTTCGTGCCACCGCGGGCCCCATCAGCCTGTCGGCGAGTGTGGGCCGCACAGGGTGGTCAGTCCGGCACCCGCCCTGTCTTATCACACTACCAGAACGCTCTCCAGGGACGCTGGGGCGAGTCTGATCGTCACCGCGACCTACGACCGTTCCGACAGCCACGGACAAGGTGACCACGGAAACGTGAGAGGAGACAAAACAGTGAAATTGAACACGAGCTAGTGCAAAAAACATGGACTTTGGCAATCCTGTTTGTCATCATGAAACATTTCCCAATGCAGCAGCCTAATTTCATGCCATCTTAGGTAGCTAATCCAAGTTTTTAGATCACCCTGAACAACTGAAAACACAAGTCTCTGACTGTAAAAACCTCCTGCGGGTTGTTTTACCACACCTAATTTCCCCACCTTCCGACAGTTGTTTTACGGGACCTAATTTCCCCCGCCTACACTCGACTCCCGAGACTATCAATCGCCGGTTCGGGCCCAAACCTGCGGGAGAGCGCAGACGAGCGGCGGCAGAGGCGGAACGGCGGAGACCACTTCGTCCGACAGCCCCATTCAGGTGTCCGAAACGGGGCCAATGAGGCGCCATTCATACAGCGGGCTCACGTGACTCTAATAGCCACTGAGGCTGTCGAGTGAGCAGCCATCACGTGACTTTGGTAGCTGCAGAGAGGGAAGTCGTGACCCGGGAGCGTGCTTAGACGGAGAGCCGTGATCAGGGGAGAGAGAGAGAGAGAGAGAGAGAGAGAGAGAGAGAGAGAGAGAGAGAGAGAGAGAGAGAGAGAGAGAGAGAGAGAGAGAGAGAGAGAGAGGGGGAGGGGGCACGGGACAGGTAGCGGTCTGACTCAGGCCCCAGGCCAGGGCGGTCATACGAA